TTCTCTCTGTCTCATACCTTGCTGCATATGCGTGATTCGGGACAAGCTTTTGCATAGTGACCACCGTCTCCAGAATGGACTGGTTCCTTTGTGCCGTTCTTTTCTACTGAAAACAAGCGTATTGAAGCAAGGCATCTCTTACGTAACTAAACAAAAGCTTGCCCCAAATCACGAGGTATAGCAACGGTGTCTTTAGTTTAGTATGGAGAATTCAAGTTATAGTTACAGTAAACTCCGACTAAGTTGGCATCGCGTAACTCGTCATATCGTCTGATGTTTGTGTGAGTTAAAAGAACTTGGTGTTTTCAGATTTTATTCAATATAAACTGGCGAAAGGCTTATTGGTCCTTTGATTAATTGGTCCTGGATTAAGAAAATAAGAAATCTTGTCTCTGCACTTTTACAGTGTCACTCTTCAAGTTGATGGCACTTTTCTGAGTTCAACAGATTTTTAAAATATATTCATGTGATTTAGCCAGATTCTTCAAACTGAATCCCTGTTGATCAACTTGAATTTCTCAATTTAATAGAAGGTACTTGCATGATCAGTAGGCTGTATGACAAATGGACAGTACGTCTCTTGAAGAATTCCAGTATTTTGCCATCACTTCCCCTTCTTGAAAATGCAAACACCTTTATAAACATGGTCATCGGGACGTACAAATTATCTTATTCCAACAGGTACCTTGTATTATCAGCATGGGTAAAACTGAACACAAATTGGAATCTGACATCTCATCTTGTTGTAAGAAGGATGTCGTATTTAAGAGTGCTGTTATCATTAATATTTGAGGTTGGTTTCTCAAGAATATGAAATAAGGATGCAGACACATGATGGTAAGTCCAGACACTTTTTTATACACTCTTTACATTCATTATACAGGTCCTTCCTACTTGATCAAAAGACTGTCAGTCAAATTCAACCGCGTCATTGATAGAAAATAATTATTAATTCAGATCATCTCTTGTCTACTTATTACAATATCTTTATACACGTGCACAAACTTGTTAATGTTATGTACACATAGTTTTTGTTTTTATTTTGTATAATGCAAGAATTATATATTACATAGAGAAGACTGGGTGGTATGTGTATTTCTCCATTTTTACAAATAAAGATATGTACACTAAATCCATCCCTTCCGAAAAATAAAAAGGGGAAAGACGAAACATGAATTACATACCAGTCTTGGTACATGTTCCTTGCACATGAACCAAAACTTTCTGAAAATCAAAGTTAAGCAAAGAAATACTGGACAGTTATAATTGGAAAAAAATAATGGCTAATCCATGGCAGGGATTAGTCTAGTCTGCCAATTGGTATCAGTATTGTGAAGTTTCCAATGGAAACTGTGATCAAATGAATAAAGACAAGTCTTTACAAATGGGAAAGCTGGGATGGAAATTAATGAACCTCTTTATTTTGTTGTGGAGGATCTAGTTTGGACTGATGGCACTGTGTGTTAAAACCGGCAGTTGTGCAGGATGACATTAATTATGCAGCAATTATAATGAACTCAAATACATGTATACATGTACCAAATATCAAACTTTCACTTCAATATACCTACCTTTCACAGACCATAAATCTTGTCAGAGAAAAAAATAAGTTTTCCATTCTAATTACAGATTTACATTTGACAATTTTTACAGATTAGAAAAATAGTTTTACTATGCCGGTCAAGTAAACCCATAGTAAAACTGACATTCCAACTCCTACACACGGCAAACAAAACATTGCTCAATAGTTCACACGTACCTGTACAATATTTGCATACTCCCTCAAATGCCTTGGAGGTATTACCAGCTGAACTGTTATGAACCCCATCCATTAATATACAGTATATAGAGGGATTTCACACAAGCACCGTCTGCGCATATCCACATCGAAACCGAAGCTCTCTCTGTTGAACTTCGTCACGCACGCCCAGAGTCCACACAGTACATGTTTTATCCGGTTGCAAGTGTGATGCCACTGCAGTTTAAACCACGCCCACTGCACATTCAGATACATGATCACTGTAGGTACGTTAGTTCGCAGTAAATTGCTGTTATTTTTTTAAATTTTACGTGTTGAGTCATCCTGAAAGACTCTTCCACAAACATTTGCAGACTGAAAAGTTTGAATTTAACATACCTTTATGTATTTTGTGTCTCGACTCCTTACTTTCAATCGTCTGATTGTATTAAGAATTGAAGCTGACACATACAGCCTCGTTTCCAAATGCGGAAGTGCGCAGATCGACGCTAAAAGCATCGTATTGGGATCCATCTATTCCTAACACTGCCTGAATGAAGAAGTCTGACATGCACAGCATCTTGTAGGGAGAAGGAAGGTCGACTGGTGGTATTTCAACTCATGGTGGCAGCAGATCAACTTGAATGACATGTAGGCTTGCGGGTACACCATGGAATCAATCTCTTTTTTTGGACGCGGTGTGGTTCTTAGAACCGATGAGAACCACACCTCTTCCAAACAGAGATTGCCTCTATGGTGTACCCGCAAACCTAAATCTTAAGTAACTTCCACCATGCAAAGCTGTAGATCTTACAGATCAACTTTCAATATCAATTCTTAGGCAGCCGTATACGTCCAGCACAACTTCACAACGTCTCTAGACATAACTACCCAATCATGCTCCATTTTACACACATGACCCGAGTCTAAGGAAGCATTGAACCCCACTGCAAATCACAAGGCACATTAGAATCAATTATTTGTCAACCCAATTTGTCAAGGCATAAAGTATGTGTTATTCTGATTCTGCTATATGTTAGAGCATGCCTCAGGTCTGAGCCCATGTCCTTCATTAACATGCAATTACACCTAGCCTTCAACTGCAGACATCACTAAATTTTCATGCTGTTCACTGGAATTACAGCTCCCAAAGTTTTGAGATGGTCTTCACTGCTTATAACGGAGAGCTGTTAATTACTGCGAGGTGGGACACAGTGTTTTGAACAAGGGTTATGGCACCCTTAGGCATCTCCCTACGGGTGTTAAAGTGCTATACACCACACCACAGCAGTCGACAATTGTTGTCTTTGTTTCTTTATAGATTCTTGCAATACTTCTAAAGTGATAGTTTCTTGATGTTTGTGTTTTCCATTGAAAAAAATTAAACATCCAAGACAAAACATGACAAGAAAATCCTTTTTCCGAGACACTAGGTCAGTCCAAACCCTTCAAGCCAACATTGTGCTTTGTGTTCAGCAATCATGACTCATATCATCACACATCATCCAGTGCATCTTCAGCTATCGTACTTGATGTCGCTAAAAAACAGTTTGTGACAGTATAAAATGTTACACTGTGCAGTTACCTCAGTGCATGACTTACGTAAGGAGCATCATGAAATAAAATAAATATCACTGAAGTAAATATTCTAGGTGAAAAACTGACATAAAGCACAGCTACTAAACGTTCTGTGAGGACTGTCAATTTCAATGGCTTAAAAAAATAAATAAAGTACATCTAGATGAGCTAAATATGACTCCAAACACAACTAATGTTGCAATCTTCAAAAGTAAACCATCATTGTATGACTCAAAGTTATATCGCAAAAAAAATGAATTCCCAAGTTTTGAAAAACCACACGCTGATATTAAAATAAAAATGAAACAGAAATGATTTGTTTAATTTTTAATGGTAGTAAAATCATGTAGGCTCACTATCTGTTTCAATCAACCATAACTAATGGCATACACTTCTTTCAGCATTCCAACATTCAAGAATATTGTGCTTTTCTACAAAAAAGTGAGTTAAGAAATGGCTATCTCTGCAAAACAGTCAACATCAAACCCATCCAGATTAGACTGAAATACCGACACTTTGGGTAAAGTAACTCCCTGAACTTCACAAGCAATCCTTAAAAAATGGCATGGCACTGATTTTGTAACCATAGTAACAAAAACATCCATTCATTAAAACAAAACCCACACACAGAACTCTTATCTACAGAAAAGTTAGAAATCATTAAATAAACCAGTCCAGCCATGAATAAGGTATCTGACTCCACCAGACATTCACCAGAGATTTGCTCATCTCATTTCACTGTCCGTGGTAATTTTTCAGCATGATCCAAGCCCCCCCCCCGAAAAAAATGAATGGAACTATTGACTTGGAGGTCTGTATGCGTGAACTATACACACACAAACCCAAAAGGGTTCACAACACCCAAATAATGGTTCTTGTTTATAAATACCCCAAACCTCTCCCTATTGAAGTCACAGACAGTGAGGGCGCACATCAGCACCAAGCTCATACCTGTTGGCATACGCATCCATCTTCAATGTACATACTTTCAAATATTCTGCCATGTCCATGTTCCAGCACTGTATCATAACTACGTTCCTGAAATTCCCCTAAAACTTGATTGGTACTGCTATCAAAATGAACTCAACTCCAGCAAAGAAGTACAAGGATCCTCTTGTTTCATATTCAGCCAATAGAACTCGTTTTTCAGTACTTGGAGTCTTCTACCTATCATGACTGGCCTGGCTTTGTCAATTTCCACTGACAGACTATACTCATACTATGCTATCCCAGTCAAATGTGTCTTCCTCCTCATCAGCTGGATAGTTAGGAACTGTCTGGACATGCACAGTAGGTACCTGATGTGCCCTGGGTTGTGGTATGGTAGTCTGGTGCCTTGGACTGACTGATAATTGATGATGAGGGGAGAGACCATGTGGTGACAGACCCAGAGATGTGGAGCTGTTGTCTGGACTGAGAAGATTAGGGGATCCCATGAGTGAAGAATGACCGCCTGTTGTAGAGTTAGAGTAGTTTGAATGTTGACTGCTGTTGAAACCACTCCCTAAAGACAAAACAGGTACATTATAAAGACGTCCCAATGGAATCAGTTTATTTGATTAATAGATGCAGCCACAAAGACAAGCACTAGTATAAATCTCTGCTTACATAGGCGGGTAAGGTTTGATTAATAGATGCAGCCACAAAGACAAGCACTAGTATAAATCTCTGCTTACATAGGCGGGTAAGGTTAACGGAACTATTATGAAAAAGCTATAAATACAGGCCAGCATTGATGAACAATTCAATTGTAATCACAATTACGAGCCAGTTGGGTATTCCAACAGAGCATGCTCAGTACGAGGCAATTTAGGAACAGCTGCATGCACACATGATATTCTGTCCTATCAGTACAGGCATACGCCCACTCACAAGCATGTTTTGTTCCTGAAAGACCCTGGTTTTTTGAAACATTGAACTGGCTTATTAAAAAGTCTCACGAAAACTCAAACCGAATTATTCCTTTTAGTACAAAAATGCCATGGCACAGCAAATGAATCCCAATCCTGTTGGATCAAATCCAGCTGGAGGTTTGACAGGATTGTACAGTTTCAAAGAAGAGTGAGCCCAGCCACTATAAGGCTGTGTTCAAAACAGGCTTTCAGAGCTTACGCTACATTTCCTGGCAGGATGACCTCACACATTTGTAGGAGACTGCAAGACCTTGACCTAGCTTTTAATCTCCACACACTGGCAACAGATTTGGATTACCATGACCTAGCTCTAGATATAAGATTACAGGTGACTTAATGCCTCTGGAGGTTTGGGGAAGATTCATGGTTCAATAAAGCTAATATTCCTAGGAAGATGTGAATTCAGGACAGAAGTGATGGCAACATCGGCATAAGGTTAAGATCATTATTCTGAACATGTTTGGAGTTGAGTTCTTGACAAGCAACATACCTGTTGCTGCTGAGGAGGCTGACAGACCACCCAAACTCTGAGTCAATAAACCAGTCTGTTGGAAGAACTGATTTAAGGAGGCAGCAAGATCAGCAAACTGCTGCGGTTCAAGGGACCAATTTTTCAGGTCTGCTTGCTTCATACTCTCCATTAAACCTAATGTTGGGAAAAATAAACATTCTTTATAAATGGAACTTTGACTCCGCCTCTAAGGAAAATATAGTCTGAAGTATATCAAATGTTGGACAAAAAACAATGGTGGAAAACAACTTGAAGGAACTGTTTCTCACACTACAGTACCTTAAAACTCTTCAAACCTTTATGACTCTGAATTCCTTGGTAGCATCTTTCTTTTTCAATACTTTTGTCTTCCAGACTGGATATGCAGTCTTACCTTGGAACTGGGACACGTCAATATCATTCCAGTTGGCTGTTCTTACACTCTCCTTCAATAGATCCAGATTCTGGAGCCAGTCTAGGTTGGAGCTGTTCAGACTTAGCTGACCTAGCAGGAAGGAATTCAGTATTTGCAATAACAAGGTTACCACAAAATAAGAAAGTTAACGTTAATAATATGTTCGCATCTAAAATGACAATTTGGCTTACCAAAGGACACATCTGGCTAAATTTGATCAGGGTAAAAGTACAAGAACCAACTGTTAACCACTTCATTTAACAGTCCGTTCTAAACTTTCACCCTAACAGACCTTTTCCCAGCACCTTGCTCTCTGTAGGACACTACCAATGACATGACTCACCTAGATATTGCTGTGATTGCTGTAGCTGGTTACCGTTGGGTGAGCCTACCAGTGATTGCTGTGGGGATGGTGTGTTACTATCCACCTGGTGGAACTGGGATAAGGGACCATCTAAAAAAATCATCCAAGGAAAAGAACCTATTAATAGACTGCTTAAAAGTAGGCAAACGTTTTGCGTTAAAGCATGCAGGAATGGAGATTCCACTAATTATTTTTCTATTTTAAGCATTGTAATTTCCAACCTGTGCTTACTGCTTATAATAAATGTATGATATAAGTTTCTGTTAGGAATATGTGTGCGAAGCAGCACTGCAAAATTCTGTCCTGGTCTTCAGGCTGCGCTTTCTGAAGCTAAAAATCCTGGTCCAAGTATGTAAACTTACTCATGGAACTCTCAAATACTGATTTATATAAACTTCGGAAGGAGGCACTGAGATCCTCGATGTTTGGATTAGATTCAAATAACTTGGTTCCAACATCTTGGCTTGGCGGTTGCTGTTGCTGCTGCTGTGTTTGCAATAGCTGCAGCTTGAAGAAGAAAAATACCACAAATTCAACGTGTGAAGACAAGGAACAAAAAGCTGGATCGTCATTTATGATGTTGGAGGTCAAAGTGAAGTTTCATAATTTGGGAGAAATTTCCAGACTGCAAACTAATGGAGAACATATCAAGCAGCAGAAATAATATTCTGTCATGAGAAAAAAAAATCAGTGAGTGATTTAGTAAACTAAATGTCACAATGACAGTCTGTTGGAATGTGTTTGTAACTTGGCCTCTGATATGAGACAATTGGTGATACAGTTATGACAAAGGGACACACACAACGTATACATATGCACAGAGAATAATACAAAATACTGGTATGTCAAACGCACAGGTTGTGACTATTGAGAGTGCAAAGCAGGTATTGATTGCAAACCTTTCTAGAAGTTTGTTCTCTATTCCGATTGGTACTCATAAAAGCCATTCAACTGCAAAACGAGCCAGCATTACCTTGTGTGGCACTCCCCCTCTTCCACACTGCATACATGCACACAGCCTCCCTATAATCTTTCTCATGTAATAACCAGTCACATACACACCTGTTGTTGAAGTTGGGCAGCTGTGTTGGGGATGTTGATCTGGGCTAATGTAGGTGACATCACACCTTGCACACTGCCCCCAGAACTGTGGAGACTGTCATCAGGACTGTACGGTGATGACTAGAAAAACAAACAAACAAACAAACAAACCAGGGATGAGATTGAAGGACGAGGAGAACTCCACAAACATTCTGCAAATGGGTGGTTAAAAAGGCATTCAAAAACCTTGACTTTTAAAAGCTTAAATCAGCATCAAAGCATTAGGTCTCTCTAAAAACATGTAAATAGCTTGAAGGGACAAGGCAACTTCTCCTCTGCAAAGTGCCCTTGTATTAAAAAATCAAATTGTCTATGGGAATATTTCAGTGCGCATCAAGGCAATGGACTGAGATGTCTCTGTGAAATTCCTACAATGTTATGAGTCTTGCACTCAATTTTCAGAAAAAGATTTGCAGTTCCTGACCTGTAGTGAGAAACTGGATAACTGAGTAACTTCTGAGAGGTTGTTTCACATGCATGTAAATATGAAAATCTAAAGGGATGGAAAAACTAACAAGCAAAATGAATATTTATATTTGTGATCACAACCTCTAGTTCTTCGCTGTCTCCTTAATTATTAAAGCCTACAAATAATGCACATACAACTGGAGCATCATGGACAAGTCAGGCTAATATAAACCCAGCATACGCCTATTAATGTTGCAACTACAAAACAATCCAGTTTCATTATTTCATTTTCAGGAACTAACACCCACACAGACACTGTCCCCACTTATAGGGAGGTGCACTTATACTTCCTGGTACTTGTTTGTATGTGTCATGGGTAATAATAGGAGTGGACCCAAATTGATCTCAGAAATCTTGACTGTAACCTTGAAGGTCCTTGACCTGCTATGGACATTACTCTGTGGGGAGTTACTCTCACAATCAATTTATGCTACTTAAAATAACTTATGCTTTCAACCTAATGCTTCGGATGAAGGGCAAGGACAAATTTATTTTGGAGCACAGCTCAACATGGCTACATGTATTTGGGCTTCCAAATGCTCAAGTAACTACATGTAAATGTTGTAACAACTGTTGAGGAAGATGTATCTCAAAGTTTTCCAACATTCTCTCCCCCCTAAAAAACCTACTGGCAACACAAAACATACGTGCACTGGCAATGCAGTGAGGTGCTGGAGTGTTTTGTGGGGGTGGGTAGTAGCACCCACCTACATGTACGTATCTGTGGTATACAAAAAGAGCTGTATCCAATGTCAAGAGTGTTTTTGTACCAGTGGACTTAAATATTTATACAGAAAACTGGGCTACCCTCATAAAAGGTTAACCTTTCAAAGAAATGAGCCATTAACTGCCTTCCTGGGTATGTGGTGATCCATGCTTTCAATATTTGAACAGGATAAGGTCACACACGTTAATGCCTTTAAAGGCTGTAACAATTAAAGGAAGTTATGGTTTCCCCTTTTCGTGTCTGTGTAAGTTATCTTCCATGTATGGCCTCATTCCACAAGCTTCAATACTAAATGAACGTAAATGTACATGAACATGATGCAAAAAACTAATGCAAATATGCCCAAAGTACAGCACAACGAAACGTGACCCTAAAATTTTCACTCTCTACACGTATGTATCGGTATACCAGTATTATTTCAGGTACCTTGATAACACAAACTATAAAAATGTGTAAATATTGCCTCTTAGGCCAACACAAACTGCTGCTGAGAAACAACTGGCAATGCTGAAAGTGCATTCGTCACGACTTCATCAGTGCATGCCAAGAGCAGCCAGTGAAAACATTCAAGTTTCATTCTAGCAAATTGAGTTTATTGTAAATAAAGTGATAATTTCAAAACCAATAGGTCACCCAAATTTAAAGTCTACATGTTGTACATCTCCCAGACACAAAAACCTCCACTTCCAGAAAATCTGACCTTTGATAAACAAGGTTGCTAGGCCTCAAGTGTTTCCTGAGTATTGATACCAGTCTAATCCCTATGGCCAATGACCTCTGACATGAAAGGATATACTCAATACCTTAATACACACTTATCTCCCTCAATTTCCATTAATTGCTCTAAACTACACAGTTTGTGGACAGGTGGTAGAAGGATTGAGGCTGAATAAGCATACATGTACTCTCTCCTAATATGGTCATGTCACTCCATAAACATTGAAAACTAAGGGTTTACCATTCAGAAGGCCAAGTTATGTTATCTTGTCATTAAATCACTCTGCTTCAAGACTGGTCACACTGCCTGTCACATGCAGGAAGGAACAGTTACCACACCACGAACATATTATATATACAACACACACATGTGGTTTACACAAGGTGTGGATATGTGGTTTGGTAAACTATCCCTCCAGTGATATAAATAACAATATGATGAAAATACAACAGATCAAGTTACCTTATAACCACGCTGAACCAAACAAGGTTATGCAGGATTTCAATGGTCCCTATGGGGTTAGGGTTAAACCAACTGATAAGACACAGTTGCACCAAGAGACACTTTTAAATGAACATGTACAGGTATTCCTACGGGCCATATAAAGATTACAGTGGGGAAAAAGGCTACACGTGTGCTGCCATCAATATGGGAACTAATGCTTAGTCAACTTACCCGATCACTGTTTCTTCTTTTTCTCAACTTTTGTCTGGTGGGGAGGGTATCTTCCTGAGGATTCTGGTCGATGGCCCAGTAAGAACCCTGCAAAAATTTACACATTCAAGAAATATCTATTACATGTAAATGAGTTCATATAAAAATGAACTGTTTCATATAATACCGTATGCAAGAGATTCAAAATTATGATCACCAAAGCAGGTAATCAACAAAATCCAGAAATGATCGAAGTACATGTATCACTAACAATTTAATAATCTGTAGCTGGAATTTAAAGGCATGACAAGCATTTGAAAAACGGCAATTTACAATAGTGCACCACCAAGAGTATGCAACAAGTTGACCAATTACAACACTCAAAATCTGTCGACCTTTTCCAAACGCGCATTAGGTAAACAGATTTCACGCATTGTGATAGGTCAACGTGCTACTCTTGGAGGCGCACTATTGTGAAACACCCGTATTGATAACTGAAAAAAATCATCAGAGAAACAATTTTACACCTAAACCCAGCAGGAAAGAGATGTCAATGACCAGCCAGGAGTTTTTACTGGTAACTTTTCTGCTTGTTTTGACTGATCTCTCATCTTTAACCACCTGGTTTTACAAAACAAAGTCAAGTTTGTTATAAAACACATATAAATATACAGAATCCTAATGAGTTCTTTGCTCATGACAATGTGCATAATACACTTGCCATTGGCTAGGATGGTAGAACAAAATCTTGACACCTCGCCAAACCAATAAAGGAAAGTTGGATGAACACATCTAAGTATACTGGGCCGTTCTGTTTCCCTTAATTACATCACACCAAAAACAAGCAGGATATTGGCTGGGCACTATCAGATGGGTCAGCTTCTAGACTGTTCCTTGTGAATTTACCACCAAAAAGCCAGCACGACCTCTGAATTAGGATGGATGGTCTGTATTGACAGTCTACCTACTGTATCATGCATGTGAAGTGACAGGGCAATGAATTATACTCTTGTGTTGGTGTTGTGAAACTTTCATTTCATTTGACACCTTAGAATACTGCCATTTGACTTGCATTTCACCTAAACCTTACTAATGCAGCAGTACATCTACGCATGTATATAGTAGTCAACCAGAGGTACATGTACATTCCCACATACTGTATCTAAACATGTTCCCTTGATGGGACTGCATCATGGGGAAAGTTATTTTCAGTGGGAGAAATTCTGTCGATATTTCAAGGACAGTCATTTTTCACAGAACACTTTTGTGACAAGATATTAAGCAATAAATCATTACATGTGTGAAATTAAATGTATGTGTGTACATTAGACCATTAAACATGCACAAAATGCTTGTTTTATGCCAGTGAGTAATGACCTTCCTGCATGTACATGTAGATACTGCCTTTACCGAATTCTGGTGGTCACATTCCAACTTGCCTACACAGGCTGTCGAATCAAGTGCAAAGAGAATAATTACTTCCACTGACAATAACCATCAAGGTCATAACACAGAGGTACATGTACAAAAGTAATTGGCCATACATGGTTACCCCCATATACACGTACATTACACAGGATGACATCATGCCCAACTAACTATTTATAGCCAGACTCTACCCACTCTCTGTTCTTGCTCTTCCTGGTTGGCTGGTTTTGCTATTTTGTTCTCGACACAATTCTGCATTTTAATTACAAGAAATGCCATTTTGCGAGAGTCAAGTCCACTGTACAGAAATTGTCATACAGGGTTTTCATGTGAATACTGCATCATAAGGGACCTTCCTTCAAGTTCCTTGTGCAATCCTCTGATCTGCAAACTATCACACTGTCATTTGCCATACATAACAAGCACATGTACAGACACATCCATTTCAAACACCTCCTACAATGGCTTCATGGATGTACATGTAATTCCAGATCAATTAACATGGTACATGTATAGTAACCACTTGGTACATTTTAAGCATTCAATCATATGGCTTAGTGCTGAAGAACCGATCCAACAAAACCCATTATGTGATTTTATGGAGCTTATAACTGTCGCAATGACAATTTATGACAAATTAAGCAAGGTCATTGCACTTCCAGATCAAAACTAAAAGCATGAACATGTGCCAAGTCATTATATAACTTTCCAGCATCACTTTGATGTTTGTATGAAAGTTAAAATATCAATTTACATACATTCCACACTTGAAGGGCCCATTACCTGGAGGCACCTGCTTTGTCAATTTAGTTTGGAGTTTTTGTTTCCAGTATCTAAAAAGAATAAAGTGTATTTAAGACCCTACACTTATTACTAGAACAGCATCCCGTAGGCTTCAAAACTTGTTCAACATTTACATTTTGTTACATTTTGATAAAAATTCATGTACATTAACTCATTCTTTTGGCGAATGAACTTCCGAATCACGGTACAAAAACTTAAAAGTCACCCCTCCCCAAACAAAACTAAAAACAAAACAAACCCCTTAAAGAATAAAATCAAGGCCACTGTTATTTACTATATTAATTTGTAGTAGAAGACACAGGAATACAATATGAACTTAGGTATTACATGACCCAATGCATATCAGTATTATACAAGGAATTCTTATTCTTTTTCTCCTAAGCTCTGTCAACAAGTTCATGCTTACTACTTATGGGTATCAGGACATGAATATAAGTGCTTGGAACTAGGGCTTGATTTCAATGAATTTGACATTGCATGATGCATACCAACCTTTCCTGGGTCATCTTTTGACCTGGCAACTTTCATGAAACACTTGTTTAAGGACAGGTTGTGCCTGATTGAGTTCTGCAAAGGAAAATCACACAAAATCTGTAATGTTACACATTCTTGAAACATTTTTTAAAAACTGCTACATTAATACGGAAACGTGTTAAAAGTTACATGTAAAAGATTCAGCAGGAGAGAGAGAAATCTGTAATGATGTGAATTACATCTGGTTTCTCATTTCATTCCCACTAGTTTGGCCTGACATTTGAGACAGCCAACCACCCACTTACAGTTTACAGCAAGCTGCAGCACCCAGATTTCATCTCTTGGGAAGGTGGAGGGAAATTGGCATAATTTAGGAACCAAATTCAAGAGGCTGTGAGAGTGCAAGTCATTACCCCCAATGGGGAATAACTGGGTAAGGGCACAAGCCTAGTCAGAGCAATTGGCACCACCTCTGATCCAACCAAATATACATGTACACGACACAGTCCGGATGTGCACACCTTCTACTCAGAGCAAGAGAATTTGGTACATTTGTGTGCACTCTGAGCATTATTAAAGAAAACCTGTGAAGAGTCCATGTACGTGTATCAGTACTCCTATTAGCTCCATCAGCTTGCAACAACAGGCAGTGAGTTACATTACGTCATTGAGAAAAAGAAGCCGATTTTGCTGTGAAAAAACTGTCAACATTCCAGCATGTTCACAAATCTTTCAAAAAATCAATCCATTATGATCAGAACATGGTGTAGATTATACATTTATGAATGTGTAATTTGATCATAGACATATTTTAATGCCAGTGGCTCAACGTAGAAAAAAGGAAACCAATGAGTCCTCTTTTTTTGCACACATTATCCAATCTTTTTCAAGGCTGGCTGTTCTTATCCTTTTCATGCAACAACTGGAGGCTTTTTGTGCGGCAAGCATGTCAGAATGTGACTACAAGGGCAACATTGAGATCTCTCCTCCTCTATCTGCTCCAAGCAGGAACAAAAGAGGGCTTGTTTTGAAATGCCACTGACAGTTACTTTGTACTCACTCACCGAATAGGCGCGCAAGTTTATACACGTACTATAAATTTCTGAGCATAATATGGATATGACATACGTCGTTCTATGTGTCCTCCTTTTCCATTTACATGTATCTACACATACTGTACATGTACATCTTTGGTGAAAATTATGGGACAATCAATACAGCATATAAAAAAATAAACTCAGCATGACATCAGACATTGCCAAATAGGGCTCAGCATAAACGATCATTATCCAATTTCATTTTCAACAGAGAGTTGAATTGTCTTCTTCTTCTTCAGCATATATAGCCACGGGAGAAGACAGAGTGACAAAAAATTAATTTAAGTTCCTATCCCTGGATCTGATAAACTCAAGATCCTGATCCCCAAAAGAGCTGATTGACATTGTTGAGCCTACTGTATCAGGAAGGATGTAGGTCAACTCAACCGTTTGCCAACTCGATTCCTGACCAACTTGACCGTCGACCAACTCGACCGTTGAACCACCTCGTCTGTTGACCAAAAAGTCGAGTCAACTTAACCATTTAGCAACTCAATGAACCCATGAAATCAACTGAAAAGCAATCAATAATTGAACTTGTGCCGATGAGATACTCCAAAATACTTTTCCTAATTTGAGAACACACGCACGAACCCCCGAAATCTGTCACCACACTGTTTGCATGCACATATTACATCATGCACGGTAAAAGGAATTACACGCGCGATCCAGAACTAGGAAAAATGCGTTCCTTCTATGCCCTCAAGAGTCGAGTTGACCTTCACTGTTGAAGGAACAACGGTTGAGTTGGTCAAGAGTAGAGCTGTCTCGAGACGAGTTGGAAAGCTGTCGAGTTGACCTGACACGATCAGGAAGCCTGTTCCAATCTATACAAGTTCTGGGTACAAAGGAATTCCTATAGGCTTCAATTCTGCTGTGCGGCAAATCAAGTTGAGAACTACATGTATTTCCAGTGACTGTTCTATGTGGTCTTGTGGAAGCATGCTTGACAATAGACTTCGGAATAGCAGATAAACCCATATGCATTTGTTTCCTCAAGATCAGTCTAGCAGCTTCACGACACTGTTTTAGGGTATCCCACCCAAGGTTTGTGATCATGTTGGTCACACTAGCCTCTCTTTACAATGCGTGCTGCACGTCGTTGTACCATCTCAAGCTTACTGATGTAATTAGCCGCGAAGGGATCACATACTACTGAAACATACTCCAGGTGTAGACGAACGAGTGCTACATATGCGGTTGTTTTTCGCCATTTTCGACCACTGCTTTCAGTTCCTACGCAACACACCTAGGTTATACCCAGCAAGAAATGAGACCGAGGGGTACCCCCCAACATGTCCAATGCCTATACACGTTCCAGACTATTGTTACTTAACACACATCCCCCAAGATATCTGAAAGGAATTCCCCTGATTCCTGCGAGACAATGACCAACACAAAGCAGGGGGGGTTCTCTCCGTCTCATACCTTGCTGCATATGACCTAGGTCATGGTTAGCCTTCTTGACCACATAATCATAATGGTATTCCTATTTAAATTTGGGGGAGAGGAAGACTCCCAGATACTGGTGAGGATCCATCGTTGCCAGAGAATGATTATTCAGTGTATAACAAGGCCTATTGCATATCTCCTCCCTTTTGTTTCCCATGTGCATTATAATATGTAGGACAGACAGGCAGTAGGCCTAGGCTAGCATTTCTTTATCTTAAATTGCATTTGTCACACCTATTGTCATTACACAAAACAATAATGCATACCTTCCAACCACTGCCAGCATCTCTGTAGTAGGGAAAACTGTCACATATCCATTGATAAATCTCACTTAAGGTCATTCGCTTTTGAGGCGCGCTATTGATAGCAAAAGTGATGAGATTGGCGTAACTGTACGGTGGTTTGCCGTCCTTAGCCACTTGCTGTGATTCGTCCCACGTAGCGCTCGTATCATGAGGCGAACTTGGCGACTTTCTCATGGGTATCGTTCCTTTACTTTGGTCCACAGCTGAGTTCCGACCTTGCTGGTTCTTTCCAGGGATTCCACCACCATTTAAAGCTCCCCCAACATTCAACCTGGGAAGCCAGTCCATCGCAGTTAGACTGCTCTCCAAACTCAACTCCGTCTCCGCCGCCATTTTGGATGTTTCTGATCTCCGCCGCTTCACAGAAGCGTAGGAATACTACTTTTACAAACCCACAACCTCTCAACTTCCGCGATCGGAATGCCTGAGCTATGATTAGTCACTTTAGTCGCTACATCAGATAAAACACTTGATTTTTCAAACAGGATACTTTTAATTCGGTAGAGAGATCTATTCCAGTAGAAATGCGAGCTGCACTACGTTCAATGGCTTGCGGAAGCCGCTGCGCGCTATATTTCTGGGCATTATACCCCCCGCGAACACTGCCATGGTAGCCGCTTCCTTCTTACGTCACAGTCATTCACTGAAGTGGCGGCAAGCACTTTTCCCACATACTGCTAGCACTAGTTTCAGAGGTTATTGCACTGTACTCTAAGAGAAACGTTAATATTACGGACCGGTTAATAACCCAGGTGACCGTAAGCTCTGTCAATTTATATTAATTAAATTAATACAAACTGTTGTACAGGTGCGTACGTTTAACGGTAACCTTGTTGTTACAGAGAAATGCACGCCATTGCAAATGGTTGTGCCAGTTCTGGTGTTATGTCCTTCCTTCTTCGAAATCCCTTGCAGGTAACCTTTTAAAATGTAATAATAGAAACTACAACGATTCCTGCAGTTTCTGGGTTTCAAAGGGACAAAGCTTTTATTTTAGGTGTTGAAAGGGTAGGCAAGAAAAGTTCCGCCGAGGGTACTTGACGCGCGTGACGGGCTGGATCATTAGATTTTGGTGGCGCTCTTTTACCCTCTCAGGGCGGCTGCTTATAAGTTGACAGCATGACATGCAGGCGGATCCCGATTCAGTAAGATCTCAGCTTCCTTGGGATGGATCCGTCTAAATCCCAGCTCTTACTACGAAAGTTATGACAATATTTGTAAAGTTTCAATCCATTTCGACATTGGGTTTTGTTTTTAGAATTTTTTTTGAAATTTTTACATGTAGTGATCATGAACTCTAGTGCGTGCGTATAAGAGACAATAACACGATTGTTTTCTTCTTTTTTTTTTGTTTGCCAAGCTGTGTTCGTGACCATGGTATGTCTAAGTTTTGTGAAATTCTGTCAAAATAACTTCATATCAACAGACATTAGCAACAAATTCACGAAGGTTAAAAATGCACAACAAGAGGGGCTAACCTCAGAAATAAAAGACGGGCTCATTTCACTTTGGCCTTCCCAGGCGCATGACCAGTGACCAAGCCCTGCCAAGCAATTAAGTCCGGCTTCTTATAAAGGCTGTATGGTTAAGACAACAAAGAGGTTTTTTCAAAACGAAGTTTAAATATGAGGAAATTAAGAAATAGTCTCAGGATTGTTTTTTAAAATTATTTTTCTTTTATTCACCCAGGGTAAATCCAAACAGCCGAAGCTGATTTCCATTGGAGCCCTGAAATTATAAAACTAAGATTTTAAAAGGGTAAATATAGGACGGGATTTGAATTAAATCTGAACATAAAAGCGGTTAAAATTATTCTTATATAAACACGTCTATGTAAAAAAAAACCCCCAAAACAAAAACAAAAAACCCCGGAAACCATAACTACTTAGAGATTGAGTCAGGTAATTTGCTTTCTGTCCCTAAGCTAGTTTTGATTTCGAACATGAGGCGGGAACCAAATTTTGAATACTGGTTTCCGCCCGAGGGTCAAGCACAGGCCGCCTACAATGCTTCAAAGTTCAAGTGGTTTTCCATGCGCTCAGACTTGAATGTCTGTAAACGTGAATGGAATCCCCAAATCGCATCACCAAGACTAAAATAAACACAATCAAAACATTACAACTCAAGAATGATAGTTGGCATGGCGAGCAAATACAGAAAGAGCTATATGCATTACAAAAGAGCAACTATTAGATTATTTTGGAGTACCAATTCCTGAACACTGTGGTTACAAACATAAACAGCTATTATAATCAAACAAAATATTAAAGAAAGTGGCCGCTGGACTCATCAAAATACTCTGGACTGTGATTTTTAGTCTGACAAAATGTAACGGTTAGTCTTCCAGGTCACGTAAATATTTAGGGGAAAAAGATTTCGAATAACTGTATACATTATGAACAAATATTGTTTGAGAAATTATATGAACAACCTGCAAGATTGGCCAGGGAATAAATTGACTTCTTTTCTATGTTTAAAAAACATAAGGCCGTCATTCATTATGGGAATGAGCACTTTGTGTAAAGGTGAACCGACCCTTGGCGGGAAAAAACGAGTGTGGCTTTGGAAGCCACAAGCCTGCAGATGCACTCTTCTTCTTGGCTGACTTTCTGGCTTTATGTACCGTATTCGTCTTCAAAGCTAGCTTCTCGTATTCCATAACTGAGTACCTTCTTCAGGGCAAGCAGATTGTACTCAGTTACCAAAAGCTCGGCAATCACATATTTCAGAGCACTGATTTTATATCATATTCTCATCGATATTTTGATCACGGTGCTACGCATCCCTTCCACATTTCTCGTATTCCATGTTTTTTCCTCAGATTGTACGTCGTAGCGCCCTCTACTGTCTTGAGTATTAATATCAGTTATTCTACCCAAAAGTTTGGACCAATGAAACGTCAGCATTTCATGAACGCGGGCGCGAAAATGCCAGTCATGTAATTCGTAAGAGTGTAGTGTCCATCTTCTACTATGCTGGATACCAACGTAAACTACGCCCGGCCGGCCGCGCATAACGCGACGACGACGAGTGTAGTAGTACCGCGCGCGCGTACAAACAAGACAAAATACTGGTGTTGTGCTGGCTGGATTTCCCTGTAACAGTTACAATCTTGTCTAAGTCATGCTGGTCATCTCATGCTAGTTTCATCATTTTGGAGCTACTGAGTCTGTGCTATTGTCCTATTTAGCGTGGCATTATCATGAAGCTTTTGTTGATCGCTGGGATTCTTTTGGCCTCAGTTGGTAAGAAGAATGTAAAAAAATCTCAAATGTTGCAAAGGCCAAGCATGGCAAGGCCCTGGAGGCTAGTCATAAATTTCTGAAATATTTTTGTTTTAATTTTGATGTTAAATGTATCTTAAAGCATGTGAAGAGGATGTCGTAAGAAATATTTTGATATAAATTTGGATTCCATTGGACTCTGCAAAGCAAAGAAAATTCGATATTAAGTGGGGAGGTTTTGAGATGTTAGGGACTTTAGATTTATCATCCGGGTATTGGCAGGTAGAGTTGGACCAAGACGCAAAGCAGAAGTCCACCTAGGCCTAGGCCCTATAGGCCTACTAGTAGACCCTACTACTACACATCTAAGTGCAGAGCAAGCTGTGATTATTTTGTTGATTTAGCCTATGTTTTTGTAAAATCGTTATTTCTGCCATATTTCAATGAATCAAATGCTGGCTTTAGCCTCTAGAGGCCTAGGCCTAGCCTCCTTTGAATTTCAACATTTTTGAAATTGGAAATTAAATAGAGGAGCTAGCCTACATCATGCAAAAACAGACGAATTTTAATCATAGTTTCCTTTAAGAAAATGAGTTTCCAAATAAACAGCACCCTAGCTCATATTTATTCATGTCCTTTATACTGTCCTGGATTTGAATGTTAACCTAGGCCTTAACTTCTATCGTTAACTTACGGCATTAGGCATGTCATCTTGGGTTTGTCGGCACGGTTGGTTAGGCTAAAAAACATACGTTTTGAGCATCTCAAACAAGCCTAGCCTGTAACTTGTAAGTATAAGGGTCTAATGTTAGTGATTCAGGACCTAGGGCCTATGACTGACCAGTTCCAGGTTTACTTTGGAAATTTAAAGGCAGGGCAAAAAATCCAAAATTAATGTAGGAATGATGTCAAAAAAGGGCAGTGTATTAATTGAATTAGGATATGAGGGAAAGCTGTGTTTTAACACATGGTACATGCATGGTTGGTTCATCAGTAAGAAAGTCAAATTTTCTCACAATTTACAATTTGAAACTTCGGCAGAAAATAGAGTCAGCGCAATAAAGCAATAAAGAGAGCATTGCCTGTGTTTTTTGGTAGGGACCGACTAGTTTACAAGATTAATGATAAAAAACTGGTGGGTCCCAAGTATACAATCCCTGTGAAGATGATAAAGCCTAGGCTGCAGTACAGCACGAGGGGGCCTAGGTCTTTTACTGACCTAGGCCCTGCCCCTAGCCCTAGGCCAGGCTTAATCTCATGGCCTGATAGCTGCTTGCAGGTAGATTTGGACCCCCACAGGACCCAGGGTCCAGGCCAACAAAGTACAATAATTCCAAGGCCTATGCCTGAGTGGCCTAGGCCTATCCATGTTAAGTTTAGGTGGTAGGGCTAGGCCCTACTTGTTTGAGAACTTGTGTACTGCACGACAAAATCATCAGGTGTCCTCTGCATTTAGACTATCAATTCAGGCCTACAAACACCAAGGTGGACGTAGGGCTAGGCCTCTAATATTTTGTCCCGTAGGCCTGGGTCAATGGCGTCATAAATCACATACAAGCCTAGGCTAACACCACGATAGTGTCTACACTTGGGCAGCTCAGATTCTCCTCATTTTTCAAACATATCTTGCTGTCTGCCATATGTTCCACAGGTAGCCTGTCTGCTGCAGAGTGCTATCTCTGTAGCTATGTACCATCAGCAATGGGTGAGGAATGTAAGGATCCCTTCAACAGCTCTAACAACTCAACAGAAACCTGTGAAGGGACTTACTGCTTGGTAATATGCCAATATCAGGGGTTTGAGTGGCCAGTCAAGATCAAAGCTGAAAACAGCTATCAAAAAGCTGAAATGTTAAAAGTTCTAATACTTTTGTACCGACCGGGTGTACAAAAAAAGCTGAAATTCAGGGTCAACTCCAAACAAAAAAGCTGAAATCAGCTAAAAAGCTGAATTCTCACATCCCTGCAATATACAAAGTCCAAAATAAAATCTTATAAATGTACTGTTGAATTATTCAAAAGAAAATGACCCTTTCTTTTTCCAAAACTGCTAACCCCTCAAGGTAAATTACAACATCTTAACCTTGTGAAAGATTTACAAGTGACCATGACAATATGTACTAAGACTCATTAAGTATAAATTAGAAACACCCCACAATAGGTTGTCAGGTGTTTTGTCAAATATTACATTCAACAGTCCCCTAAAAGAACCTGAAACTAGTCTTAAATTTTGTTACTATTTTCAGAAAGTTGTATCCAAGATCAGTGGGGAGGTGACATCAATCAGCCGTAGCTGTGCCGAAGCCTGCTCTGCGGCATGCATCTCTTTGCTCGGCATTGAGGGGTGCACATACTGTTGCCAGGGAAACCTCTGCAATGGCGCAGGAACAATCAACTACAATCTGATGATGATCATCGCTATGGTTACAGCAGTTCTGAAGCTCTATGCTTAGCAACAACTTTACCTGATTGTAATTTCTAACAAGTTCTAAAAGGGTTCTCATGGTTCTTAACCTTCTAAAATTACTTATTTCTAAATTACCAACAGGGTATTAAAATATTTCAAATCTCATAAGGTTGGTTTGTTCAGTACATGTTCAGCTGTCAAATACCAAGCCCCAAAAATAAAAAAAAGAAGTTTTAACTTTTGGTTTGAAATTAAAGACAATGTGTTTCATATTTGGAATGAATGGTGCCATTGAACCTGTCAAATGAAGATTGCTCATCTGAATGACAGTCAAATATTTGAATAATAGAAAAAAATACTTTTGGTTTCCGTATACCTTGCAGGAAAAAACCAAGTTTGGCTGTGCCGTTAAAAATACTGATTCACTTCCTCTGACTCCTGAAAAAAAAAAACAATTTAAAGGCATTTTTTCAATTACTTGTGTCAACAAAATGATTCTATGACAGTTTCTGCTTTAATTAGTTGAAATAAATTCTGCTTGAAGAAAATCTGTCTTTGTATATGTCTCTGTATAGTATTGTATCAGTTTTAAGAATGGAGCTAGAACAGGAAAAAGAAACGCACTCCTCAGCTCCAGCCTTGAGATCTAAAACATTTCGATTCAACAGAACAGACAATAGGAAAGCCCTATTTTCAGCAATGATCATCCATACTGGAGTACTTCAATCATTTTATTCATTTTCTATTTATTTGTACACGTATTCTCATTTATCTACGCTTCAATAGCATCTACTAATTTACATGTTTATACAAAAATTGGAAAACTTTCCGCTACAACCAAAATATTCAGAAGTCCTGATTTGACTATAAAAACACCAGCAAAAAAGAAAAAATTCCTTTGTGTTTTCACCACAATATAAAAATATTGTGCGGATTTCCATATGAAAGGAGAGTGGAAAATCAATGAAGTATGTCTGACATCGTATGGAAAAAAACATTAAAAAGGTTGTGCACTGTCATTCATGGTAGAGTAGTAAATGAACATCTAAAATAACTGAGTGTTTTGTGTATACCTGCTTAGTCATTTTGTGTAAAATGAAATAACTAGAACGTAATAAGCCACTAAAGCCAATTACAAAAAGAGTTTAAAATTTATATTAGTAAACTGAACTATATTGTGTAGGTCTTGATTACAATGAATCACGTCTTGAGGGGCATTCCACAATATGATTAACTCTTTTAATATAAAACCCCTTACAACATATATATGAAGCAAGATTGTTGAAGTTTCTGATGTAATCAAATTTGCAACATTTTCTGAAAAACCATATGTGGGGGTATGGAAAACTGAAAGTTGTGTCACTGAGAAAGAAAAACAACCCAGCTGACGACAAAAATTTCATCCAAGAATGTAGCTCATGTAACATTCTCAGAAATATAGGGCAACAAATCATAACCCTCTGCCAGGGAAAAAGAGTTGCTTACTTTTTGTGGAATTCGCACAAAATTACACGATTTGTTCCAAGTATGCAAAATCTTTTCCAAGTGCCGGACATTTCACCCACAGTATTACGATGAACATAAGGCAAAGTCATAGTCAAGTAGTTTGGTGCAGACTTGATTTTTTGCAGTGGCTGGTAAAATAAAAAAAGTGGGTTCAAATCCAACCAATGAGAAAGTGATGAATGTGTCCCTAAGCTGGACAGAGTACCATGATTCGCTTTCAACATATAGTTTAAGTCAAATGGGAACGCATAAGAGCAGGTTACCTATGAAATTTTTGTAGCACTGTATGGTAGTATCTGTGAAGCTGCATATTCCTCAAAAAGTTGTGCTGCTCTAAGGAAATACTTTATTGACCTGATAGGGTCAGGCAAAAATTTACTTCACGTCAAAATGGTAGATATTCTCATACTATACCTCGATTGATCAGTGGCTCAGTACCAGTATCCAGAAAACAAGAGAGGAGTAGAAAAAGTTGAACAAACCATGTCATATTAGCTGTCATATATCAAGGAATGAGACACACTTAAAACATACGGTTGGCTTTCACACCTCAAAACATACACGATCATTCCTCCGTGTGTGCAATGCTTTTCAGTACATATTTGACGGTGTAAGCAAAAGCAGCAAAGCCAACAATGACAAGCACATTGGCTAGCGTGCTTCCCACAATGCCTTGGTGCCCTTGATGGCCCAATGGTAGCTGTCCATCTTGGTTGTTTGCTTGTCTTGAGGACTGACCAGTTAACAAGGTGGATTCTGTGCTTGCTCTGATCTCTTCTTCCCTCTTCCTGATGGCTTCTCTTACTTCCTAATGGTAGAACAGCAAAATTAATACATGTTAGCAGGACAACTTTCACAGCAGTTGCAAATGTATTGGGGAAAAAGATATTAGATACTTTCTCACCCACAAACTCGTGATTACTGATTGCCACTATCAGTCCGTTACACCCTTTTCAGACAAAATACTCACCAATGCAACCTCAGGAAACAATTCGCAAAACGTTTGATTCTTGACGTTAAATGGGCCACTCTGGACAGCTAGTTGTCTTTTCTATAGAAAAAAAAGAAGAAAGTGGTCACATATTTCAATGAATCACATTCAGCAGAAACCTTCGTAATCTTTCACAGCATTTTCTACAGATACAATGAATAACACAATCAACCACAACACAAAGAGAAAAATTCCACTAAGAGTACGGAAACATTTAAATTTTTACAACGGTGTAGAATATGGTCACTTTCGATGACTTACTGTATAATCAGATGTTTCTATACTGCCAAGTGTTGGGTTCTTTTCCACCATAAAGCTAAGGAGACCAGTTAGAATGGTGGATACAGACCATGCTGGATTCCAAGTATCAGGATGAAAGTCACTTATAGACAAACATAACCTGTGAAAAATGTGAGACAAAGTGATGATCTCCTGACTTCTACTTACTTTTCCACCGTCCTGTTTTTCCACGTGCTTAATCCAAAACGATTTGATATGAGGTATTTTCAATTTCCTCTAAACAAAAGAAACATTTGCAACGCTGATTTAACACGCTACACACTTTGAACTTTGTTTCTGTTTTATTTCAAAACTTGAGCCCAATACTGCTAATGTGGGATTTTGTTGAACTCAACAGGCTTCGAATTCTGCTGTTGTAAAATACTGATGGATTCCACTCTTCATCTATAGATATGACACATGCAAAACAATTTTTCACCTTGTATTACACTTGAATCTTCCATTAGGTGTAATCATGTAGATACTTGGCGGTTTAAATGGAAATTCTCTGGGGAAGACTAGTTTGCCATGATACAAGCCGCCTTCATACGGTGTTCCTTCTGGCCCTCTCACCAAGTAGTGCCTTTAACAAAACAAAATCACAAAGTTGACAAACTCAACCGAGGAAACATTCTGATTATTGCATTTTCTTAGCACAGGGTTACATTGAAGATAAACCTTTTTCTACTTTATTCATGCTGATGAACTGTTGGTGACTTGCCATTCTAAAATGTTGGATGGGAGAGGCGTTGCTGTCACATAAGGCACAGGGTCTTTCTTGATTCTCACGTAATCTTGCTTCAACCTTGCTGTAGCTGTTGTGCTAACTCGCTTGCTCATTCTCTCTGCAGTATCTTTCACTACACACTCAGAACCTGACGAAAGCAAACTATGTGCACTGATTATAACATCTCAAATAAGCTAAAAAATATGTAGGATAAATATCGGTGCACGAATACAGTTAGGAGCCTCATTATCAAATCCTCCTTTTCAGAAAACTACAAACTGTCTGTATGTTGGGGGAGGGTAATGCGGCCAACTATGGCCAGAAGACTTTGGCATCGGGTTCAATGAGCACTCCGCCGTTTAGACAAGCAGAGAAGGCACCGAATACCAAAGTTCTAGGGCTAGGTCACATACAATTTTCAAAAATTCCAAAATACTATTGTGTCCAGCACTGAAAGCATTGTTTTGGTGTTTCATTTTTAGAATGTACTTTGTGAGTGGGTCAAAAGGGGTGGTTAATTCAATCATCGCCTGCATGTGAATTTCTGGCAAAGTAACACAATGTTGATGAATTTCTAACCTGACTGACCACCTGTATCAATTCAGGCCTACATGCAGAGCAGGCTACCATTTATTTAACCATTTAAGTTGGCATCATTGGGATGTAGTTGGGGGCCTAAAAATGCTAGTTCTCGCTGTATCAGTTTGGTTAGTGTCATGTTAATACTTACCATGATTACAGACTATGGAATGACTGATTAATTTGTAAAAAGTTACCCTACATATATGCGAGGACTACATTTGTGAACACTGAGGCAAAGCTTGCTTGTAGTTGTAATTTTATGCATAATGCTTGGCTTAAGACGTACAAGATCATAGCATTGGCACTCTGGCGTTGGCACTATTACCTACTGGTAGTACTGGCAGAGTGGCAGTGGCTTACCGAACACTGTGGACGTGGTTTGTCAGTTGTGTCACAGACGTCAGACAAAACCGTTCTCACTCAGAAAATTTGAAGAATTCCTGGCAACAGTTACTCCTCCATCTACTTAATACCACAGTGATGTTCCTATAAAAAAGAACGACATCAAGTATGCTTCAGTTGAGTATGAATTTAACAGTTATTTCCTTAAAATGCTCTCACGTTACTGCTACAACAATGCTAGGCTAGGCTGTGTCAACAATTCACAAGCTGGTTCACTCCATAGTGTATTTGAGAACGAGTCTGGTTATGCGCCAACCCCACAGTGATTAACAACCTTCTCTTCAGGGTTCGCCTAGTCACTTGTAGCGCAAGCAGGCCTGATAATCTTAGTGACAACGCTGAGGGCGTACTAGCTGCAGACAGCTACATGGATATGTTTGGGCATGATCGTACAAATTTCTGGCACTTTGAGGAGGAGGACGCTGAGGAATAGATCATTTAGTGCCTCGGTTTTTTGGATTTGTTTTCTTTCTCTTTCCTTTTCCCTGTGATATACTTTACACATAAAGATATATTATTTTAAAACAATAAAGGTTTTATCCTTTCATTTTCACGTCACAAATAATTTATTTTTAACTTTCGTTTTCATCATGTTCATGTAGTAGGCCTAGGCTTAAATTTAAGCGAGCTGCGCGATCTTTGGTCATGCTCCACCCCGTCGTTTTTATTACATCAATAATCTTCAAGCGTATTTGCAAGGTGATCCAAAATGAAGACGAGGTTGAAAATGATACGTGGCCTTTATTCACGACCTTTTCGCGTACGATCCCCCATACGCATGCGCATGCTTTATGCAATGCATGCATCATGTGGCTGCAGCTGAGCGCTGATGCACTATAGCATGCTGTGCAATGTGGCAGCTGTTCCCCAAATTCGCGTTGTTGTTGAGCTCCGCTGCTGGGCATCGAAAGGCAAGCCGAGTTTGTTGTTTGTTTGAAAAAGGCTACGGATTGAAAATTCAGACAATTTCTCTGAGTCACTGGTTACTTCCCGTTACTTTATCCATGGAGGAATAAGAACACAAACATTTTGATTTGACATGTTTGAAGTTTGAGTTGCATTGTCAGATTGTAAGGTGAACAGGAAAGCGTCCGCACAACGTGAACTGCAAGGTGAGTGCATAGTACATGTACTTAGTAGTTAGTACTGCGTAGATTTTAGGGGGCCCGAGGATTCATCATATTGTTACGCCCCAACTACAGCATCAGTCCCAACTTTAGTTGGGCCCGTCCCAATTATAGTTGGGCCCGTCCCAATTATAGTTGGGCCCGTCCCAACTAGAGTGCTACAGTTGGGCCGGCCCAACTACAGCAGAGAGGTCCTGTGTGCATGATGTGCCCAGCATGTGCCAAAGTCATATTGTTTACAAATGTCATGTCATTGGTCATACTAGAGCTAAGTGCCACATTTTTGATGAATTGTGTCAAGTGTCAGACACATTGACTTGGATAATGTTGAGACATTTCCCACAGACATTGGTCAACAATAGTTGGGCCAGCCCAACTGCAGCACTACAGTTGGGACTGTCCCAACTATAGTTGGGACTTATGCTATAGTTGGGGCGTAACAATAATGAGTGATGTAGGTATGTTTGTTGTGGAAGGTCAGCCAGAGTCCCTTATAGAGTCCCTCAGAATTGTTGGGTCCGACTACTTCTGGATCTGTACAAGGTTTATAACAAACCCAGTAATACAAAACTCCCATAAACACATTTTGGCTGTTTTGATTGTGCCAATTTACTCTTCCATCACAGCTATTTGTGCAACCCAATTTCATACATGCCTTCTTGGTAAAGTTAGATGTCAGATGGGGAGGTTTATTCACCTTAGGTCCTCATTAAAATGGTGAAATTCTGGAGCATTTTGCCCATCCACACTACAGAAAATCAGCAGCATGTACTCTCAATAACTGTCAGCTGTGTGATGACTTGACCAATCGCAACACAGCTCCTATCTTTTCCTTTTGTTTTCCTGACCCCATCCAAATGAAACTTAAATTGAAAGCTGAGCTGTGATTGGTCATTGGAATGGAAGAAAATTGGACCAATCACAGTGCAGCTTTCATCTGGGCTGTGGTCAAATAGCTGTGATGGAAGAGAAAGTTGGCACAATCAAAACAGCCAAAATGCATTTATGGGAGTTTGTACATGGCTATCTATAATGCTGAGGTTTGTATAAACTAAACCATTCTGGAAGTAGGGCCCGACATGACGTCTGTCCTGCTCCCACCATGCTGCTCCCACGAACCTAGGAGCAGGGTGGACATTGGACATTTTAGACCCCACACACACATTTCTTGGGCTGGGTACGACTACGAGTCCCTCTGTGAGTTTATCCAATGTGAATAGCCGGGTATGCTGTAGTTGTGACTGAAAGATATTGATGGACATGATTGTTACACTGTTGCCTAACCTGCCAACAGTTGTTAGCATTGCCCCTGGTCTAGGCCTATAGGGACTAGGCTAGCTACTGGACTCCTTTAACCTTACACCCCCCACAAAAAGTGGGGTCTTTGTGACTCGCTGACTGGTCTGAAATGGCTAATTAACTTTAGCAAGGGAAAACTACATTGTGATTATGTTAATGTTTGTATATGGAACTCATACCCTCACTAATTTTCTCTTGAATTGGTTTATTTAAAAGCAGTCAGAAAGTGACAACATGTCCTAAAAAACCAATTTAGCAGGGCAAATATCGAAGCATTTACTCAGCAAACACTTCAGAGTTTTTTCAGACCAGTCTCATGGTTGTGCCTAGGGTGTCAAGTTATGTCCACATATGGAACTCCTGTGCATGTAAGCATGTGCGGTGTACAGTGTGTGTATTGCCCAAATTTTTTTGAGTGCCCAAAGTATATTTTGTCTTTGTCTTCATCATCATATTCAATTGGTATCACTGCTTTCAAAAATTTAAAAGTATGTTTTACCTGCTGGACAGAGGCATTCCACATGAGAGTGTCTTTCAATTATCATGTCTTTCTCATGCATTGAGGGGTCTACTTCATTTGGAGCTTAATTTGTTTTCATGTACAAGTCGTACAAAGGGTTACTGATAATGGACCAGAAACAAGTAAACAGTATCTTGGGAACTAAACGAAAAAATTAAATTTGATTTCTTTGTCATTTTATACAGGCACTTGCAGATTTAAATTCTTCATCACTCACTGGAAACAAGAAATTGCTATGTCATCAAGGAAGAGACACCCCAGCCCTAATAATGCAAACAATATAAATTTTACAAATGACATTAATTATGCTAGAGGAGGCACAGAGCAAAATTCCCTGCAAGCTGATAGCAGAGAAGACATGGACATTGAAATGGAAGGAGAAGGCTTGAAAGGAGACTATAGAAACATCGCGCTTCTCCTGTTACTGTACGTTCTGCAAGGCATTCCATTAGGCCTGGCTGGGAGTATACCATTGGTGTTACAAAGTCGCAAAGTCAGCTACAGCATGCAAGCCGTTTTTAGTTTTGTTTACTGGCCGTTCAGTGTCAAGCTTATCTGGGCACCCATTGTAGACTCGTTATTCGTTCCCAGATTTGGCCGGCGGAAAACCTGGCTTGTGCCTACTCAATACCTTATTGGTTTCTTCATGTTGTTTTTGTCAAGTCATGTACCCACAATTCTCGGTGATATAGAACCCAGTGAAAACTCTCCTCGTGTTGATGTATACTTCCTCACTGCAGTATTTTTCATGTTGAATTTCCTGGCCGCTACACAAGACATTGCAGTGGATGGCTGGGCACTCACAATGCTCTCCAGACGCAATGTTGGATATGCATCAACCTGTAATTCTGTGGGACAAACGGCGGGTTATTTCCTGGGCAATGTTGTATTCCTTGCTTTGGAATCGGCAGATTTTTGCAATAAGTACTTGAGGTCAGAACCCAAACCTCATGGAGTGGTCACTTTGTCAGGTGAGTTGTCACTTACACGCACATTCTTCCATAAACAGTCATCTGCTAATAGATATCAAATGAAATCCTTAAAAAAAGACTGGGAGTAACTCAAACCTTGGCATTGTTCCTGGCCACATCTCTAACGTGAGTTCAAACCCACTTGCTCAGTGTAGCTCCATATTCTGACACAGATGCATGAAATTGTTTAATGCTGGGCCATAGTGGGAGTATTTATCATGAGGTGCCAGCCATAAATTTTTGAAAAATTAGTCCAGTTCTTGAGATGAAGCTGGAGTCATAAAATGGCTCTAACATTCCCCAACTTTTCTTCATGAACTGTTCTTGTTTGATATTCAAAAATGTACCTTTGAAATATAATTCATGAGTTCCAAAGTGAGCTACGTGTATGTTAATTGATTTCAATATTTGTCTGTTCAGATTTCCTGTATTTCTGGGCATGTGTCTTCTTAGTCACCACCACTCTGGTAGCATTGTTCAAGAGAGAGAAACCTGGCCATAGTTCTGAAGATGAATTAAGCTGTGGTGTGTTTGGCACTTATCAACAGCTCTACAAACTTTTGAAGCTACCTTCTCTCAAATCTTACATTGCCTTTGCTTTGACATATAAGGTAAGCTTTTTCTCATCATTTTGTTAGTAGTGAAAGTATGGAACTAGAAGTAAAGACCAAATGTTATTCCAAGTATTTCAAGGTGTAACAAGTGCATATAGATGCTTTGCATGGTAGCCATCCTGCTTGGCAGTTCTTTTATCCCGCAGGCAAACCTCCTTGTGCACATCCTATGGAACAAAAGCACTGGCCTGCAAGATGGCAGCCATGTAAACTGTCTGTATGAGACTTGCATTGGGGGCCAACAGCATCCTCATAAGCCGCCAATTTTGAGACTTGATAGGTAGTCCAGTTTGGTTGAACATTACCACTGTGGCTCATAGGCTGGGACCGTGAGCACATTAACTATGCCACTGCTATAGACAGCATTGGTGTGATTTGGCCTGTCATTTTCTCTTTGCAGATAGGATTTGCCGCAGCAGATGCAGTAAGTGGTCTCAAACTAATAGAGGAAGGTGTTCCTAGAGAGAAGATGGCTCTACTTGCTGTTCCTATGGTCCCTCTGCAGGTGATTCTACCTTGGATCATTAGCAAGTATTCCAGTGGCCCTAGACCTCTGGATCTACTAGTATCAGCTATTCCAGTTAGGTAAGCGGTGACTAGCTGCACTGGTTTGCACTTCTACGAGATAAGAATGCTAAATCTTTCAGAATATTTCAGAATCCATTTGGAGATCTGAAAGATTTTACAGAATTGAGGAAGGAAGAGATTCGCTGCTAATACTTTCCAAGGGGCTTAATGTTTTGGAATGTTGAAATACCAAGAATCAGCCATTAGCTTTCCTCACAATGGTCAATGTTACAAGTTCATTGCCAGTTGTCTCTTTTATCTCAGATTGCTTATAGGTGGCATAGTATTCTCTTCCATTGTTTGGTGGACTCCATATGTCAAATCAACAACGGGTGACTTTCCTACGTACTATTACGCCGTCCTCATTATTGCGTATGGAGTTTATCAGGTAAATATGAAGAATTTATAAAGAAGCTGCTTACAACTCATTCTTAGCTGACAAAGCATGGTTCATTTTACGGTGGTGATTGTCATTTGAGAAACAGAGTATATAGCAGAGAACATTCTGACTGACATAACATATAAATATGCTGAAACTAGTGACATAACATTGAAAATCTTCAAACATATGCAGCATTTGTCACTTCACCCAGAGGCTTTAGAGACTTGTAGAATAGCGGAAACTAAAAGTCCAGCCACATTTACTTTAAAATGGGCGTGATGCTTCTCAAAAGGTTAATTGTAAGATTGTGTATTGGTTTACTACACAGTGATCGATTTGGGAGGATTCAGGAAATCACCTTGCAAAAATTCTAAGGGCTGTCTGCTCCGAGCGGAACAAAAGAGGCTGTGTTTTTTGGTACTCACAGCATAGGTGCGGCATGAGGCGCGCAAGTATATGCACTTTTGACGCGGAGCACGCTGAGTATGTGTAACTAATTTATTCCGGCATATACATGTATGGTTTGCGTACTCGCAGAACGCGTGCAAGAACCCGCTTGTAAGCACCCGTCTTTTTACCGATTGGGGGCGCACTTCTGCTCAGGGTGGAGAGTAGTTTAGCAGTGTCAATATATAATATCACTAACGGATCTGAAATGCAACTAGAATGGTGAGATTTCTGAGCCAAATTTCATTATATGTGTGCTTTCTACAGATTCCTTTGTACTGTATATTTGTATCTGCCATGGCATTCAATGCTCGCATCAGCGATCCACGTATTGGTGGTACCTACATGACGTTACTGAATACCGTACAGAACTTGGGAGGCAATTGGCCTGTCACAGTCGCTTTGTGGTTGGTGGATTTCCTAACTTGGAAGTCATGTATTGGTGGATCACATGATAAAGGACCAGAGCTTGATTGTGATAACAAGGCAGAGGCCAAGGTAAGGTTGAATGGTGACTTTTGTTGAGGTGGGTCACACCCATGAATTTGCCTTAAGCCTACCCAGTCCCTTGTGGCATTTTCAAGTTTGTCATCTGAGCTCTGATAAACAACGTTTGTTCCACCTGTCGTACTTAGTAAGCAGGATGACTGATGAATGACAAATTTAAATTGTCTCATACCATTAATGACTGAAATATCAACTCTTGTCATTGATTGACTGCCTGAAATGCCATATTTGCAAAAGGACAGAAGTGAATGGTTTCAATCCTACCTACCAAAGGAAATATTCAAGACAATGCAATTCCTTAAATTGACCCCCCCCCACAGGGCTGCTGGTGGTGTTGATTTAGGGATACCTTCCTTTCCAACTTCTATCAGCATCTTTGTTTTCATCTTGCATGCAAATTTAATTAGCTGACTAACAGACTCATCTCCTATCCATCCTGGGGGATGTAGAGCCACTCAGGCCTGACGATCACATACGGGCTGCCACAACAGGGAGCTTGTGGTCCGTCAGTCCAGCTGACACACTCAAGTATTGTTGCCGTTTAAGCTTGTGGATTGTTGACAATGTTTCAGTGGCCATGATAAACGTCAGGTCGTCTTTTCTCCAACCACACAGAATTTGTCAGACTTCAAATTTGTCTACTCCTCTTTCTTAGGTCTGTAGTGAAGCTGGTGGGCATTGTGAGACGGATGTTGATGGTTACTACATTGAAATCGTAGCCTGCCTCATCATTGGTTTTACCTGGTTACTATGGAGATCTAAGAAAGTCCGTCAACTCCAAGATCTTAAGGAGGATGCCTGGAAGTGTCCTAACGAATGACAGTTACATGTGGTCTGAATATTGAAGGTATGATGTCAACAAGTAGCAAGAACTGAAACTGATAAACACGATTAAACCAAGTTTGTTGGGGGAAGTCTGGTAGAACAAAATATTATTAACCTCTACCTGTCGGGTGGATATTTCTTGAGCAGGATGAGATGACGGGACCTTTTCAAGATTTCCGTTTTCAAAATTCTTCAAAAATACATGTGTTCATTTACTGGACGTTTCCACCCACACGAACGACTGTCTGGTGGCTACTCTATTCTGACAGGTAACCTTCATTGATGCCTGAGTATTCAGACCAGGCCTGCAGCCCTGTAAAAGAGAGCCCAGAATTGTGAGGTGTTGCATAATTTCCTTTATTCTGGTGAATGCCAGTGGCGTCTTTTCATACGCAGCTGGATTAGCGAGCAGTGGCGCTGTGCCACTCATCATTGGGGCCCTGGAACACTTTTGTCCGCGGTACTCCGTGGGCGCGCTATGCGCAAAACAGTGGTATACTGTTTCAAAATAGTGCCGGATTACCTTCGAAAAATAAAAAATGGAAGTCAAAAAATGATTGCAATTTCCAGCAGCAGGTCCTTTGTTCCGAGTACAGTCTTTTGTTACACAGACCAGCTCTTTTGTCCGAAACCAGGCACCCCGGCTCTGCGTATAAATACACCGTGCCCGAAACTGGGCTCCCCGGTAGGAAGTGGTTAACCACTTTGTGCCGGGCCCATTTATCCATGTTGATGGGTAATGTTTCATTTTTTTCTGGTTTCAAAATTCTTTAAAATTTCATAACTTCCTTTACTGGATGTTTACACCCACACGAATGACTGTCTGGTGGCTACTCTAATCTGACAAACAACATCTATTGATGCCCGAGTATTTCAGCCAGGCCTGCCGCCTTGTAAAAACAGCCCAAATTGTCATTGTAATTTTCTTTTGGTATGTAATTTTCTTTTGTTCCCAAAACTGGCACAGTGTGCTTCTGGCATCTTTTTAATATGGGCCACATTAGCATGCAGTGGTATTTTATCGCTCATCACTGGAGTGCTGGAGCACTTTTGTCCCCGGTGGTAATCCGCTTGTGCTGAATGCTACAAACAGCAGTAGAATCTGTCAAAAAATGACAGATTTCCTCTGCTATTGGCAAGTGACAAAATGTTGGCAATTCCCAGCAGCCCGTTCTTTTGTTCCGAGTATAGGCTCTAGTTACAAGACCCAGCTCTTTTGTCCGATTTCGGACACCCCGGCAATGCATATAAAAACAATGTCTCCGAAACCAGTCTCCCCGGCAGCAAGTGGTTAAGGGGGATGAATTAGAAAATTGTAAATGATTGATTATCAAATATTCAAATATTTTTCTGAATTTTGATATTCGAATGCGAATTATAAAAAGGAAGGGAAAATTTTCTTTTGTTTTAAATGAGAGAAATTGCACTATGGAGGCTTGTTTCAAGCAAATTCAATTGAAAAGCAAAAGAAATCTTATTGACTCAGCCCTATAAATTAGACACTTCTTGGTCTTGTTAAAATGTTAATGTGATGTCATTTCGTTTCATTACAGACTTGATGATGGAGACCAGGGTACATGGCACCAGTCTTACATCCCAAGACAAAACATGACAAACCATTTCAGGTGACACGTGACAGTTTCAATTTCTGGTAACCATTTTCAGGTAGTAACCAGAAATCTACATGCATCATTTCTTCAAGAGTACTTTTGAAAATTTATGCCTTGGGAACATGTTATGATAAAGTAAAGCTTGTAGAATCATTGTTGAGGGGTTTGCGTGTGCGTTGCTTATTCTGTAGATTAGTTGCAAAGAAGGTAAAAGCAAAACCAATGTGAGATACGTTTTCTGTTTTTTTTTCAAGCCATCAAGTATGGGGCTTGGTCAAAAAAGACAATTTCCATGTTGACCTTGAAAATGATTGGTAAAGCCATTTGATTTATCCACTGAAAACATACATCAGCTTCAAACAGACCACATGAAAGATGTTCAATGAAGATTTAAGTAATATTAATGTTTTGTTTATTTCTGGGTGCAAATGGATAAATTATTAACAAAATATCTTGATAAGGCTTTCCATTCCATGAAGACTTTTCTATATTTTGGATCCTCTTCAACTTCTGGTGAATCTACAGATATTTTTGAATATTTGAAAGCGCTATTATGATTTTAATTTAATAGATTTAGCAAAAGGAAAATGTCTTTAAATCAGATGTGATGTGGGAAGATTTCAAGTGAATTAATACTTGAATTTGACAATCTACAATAATTTTACTCATCAGTGTTTAACACAATACAAAAGCCTTCCATCATACCCAAAATGAAAAACTGTAATCTCTCAACGTTGAAGTACAGACACTGATCATTACTCAGAGCAGGTTAGAACTCAGAATCCATTGTTCACACTGTACTGGAGCCATGTCTGAATTGACTTAGCCATGGCTGTCAAGAGCACCCTATGGGGAATGGTTGTAGCCATTAGCAATTGGCTCCCATAAAAGCACCTGCTAATTTTTTTTGCCAGCTGCAGATAATAAATTCTGACTTCCCCAAAATGCCCAACATGTTTTCAGAGGGGCATTTATGAATTACACAGACCATTCTTGACTTCCTGTCAGACTTGGATGATTGCAGTTGGTCAGGGAGTGAGTCAGGTGATTCATGATATGAGACAGTGATTTTGTAGTTACGTTAGGCTTCAAGTGCAGTTTTAAGTAGTGCAATGTGACTGAAGCATTGTCGTTTTTACAAGAAAGAAAAAGCATATATACTACATTCAGATGATGCAATTAAGATATTACTATTTGTGTCTCTCTCTAACTTTATGATGAATCACTATCACAACTCCTGGTACATTTATTTAAAAAATCATTAGATGTTCTGAAATACAAGTTCTACACATAGGAATGGATGCATAAGTAGTGTATATTTCAAATTACAATATAGATTATTGTTATTACCATTTCACAATTGTGACGATTGTAATGAGTTGTTAGTTTACATTCATTTTTTGTGATCTTTGATTCTTTTCCCCCAAAAGCATTTTTGCTTTTAGTTGAAATTGTCTGGTAGGAATGATTTTAATTTTTAAAAGCAATTAATATAGCTTCTTGTCACTTGTTCTCTTTCAGTGTGTTTTGTGACAGCACAGTCTGACATTTCCATAATCCAGCTAAAGAATATGTACATTTGCTATAAATTGAAAAAATATGCTATTAAAAGTCTGTACATGTATAAGAATACATCAGTAAAATGTACTGAAAATTAAGTGTGGTATTTTTATCAAAGATAAACAGCTTACGTTATTGGCCCTTGTGATAGCAGCAATCGTTCGTGGATATTTACACCCTCCACGCCTTGTAGGGAATAACAGACACTTGATAATATGGCAGTCCTCCACCAATCAAATGACACTATTTGAGGTACAAAAAAAAATTGTAGTACCACTCATAAGCATTTTGGTCCATTGTTTCAGGCTTTGCTTCAGTAAGAGGTTAGGTGTTGTGTTTACAAGTTTTATCTATTGTACCGCTGTGAATTTGATTTTGTGTCTTTGAATGGACCTACAGTATTCGTGCTACGATGAGTCAAGCATGCATGACGTATCCGTCGCCAAAATTCTGCCCTGAAATCTGCTTTGAGTGTGTAAAGCAAAGGATTAAAGGCACTGTTTGCATGCGAAAGCAACACGCACCCGTTTATGATTCCTTGGTCAATGTTAACTTGGAAATACAGAAGGACATCAACCACAAATATGGGCATCCAAGATATGAAGAAAAACAACATGAGAAAGGCAAAGATACCAGCTGTCTTGATCTCTCGCTTAATACGATGGAAGTTATCAAGGTGGGATACTGTGGGTGGGGTCTGTGAGGTAGCCCCTCCCTCATCTATCCTGTCCAGGTGGAATTGCTGACCCGTTTGTACTACAATTGAAGTGTCTTCACCAGCTGATAGGCCTTGAAGACGTTGACATGTGTCATGAATGGCTTGTAGTTGTTTAAGCTGCATTGAAAAAGCAACATTATCTACATGTATCAGTGGACCTAATGAAATCATGAGCTCGTCAGAACTTACCACAGTATCAATGTAAAAAATCTTGTGAACTGTGTGACAGTGTGTGAGTAACCATCCTAAAAGGGGTATGGCTTGATCAGCAAGATGAAATGTAAAAATCTCAAATAGCTAAAATTCAATTTGTCAGATTTTGCAATGTGAAAAAACAGAAATCAAGTCTGGCATAAAGAATTAGTTTGGAGTGCATACCTGCTTCTGTATGATGACGTAGAGTCTGATGTACACAGTACACATAACAACAAACGGTGTCAGAATACATACAAAGAAGATAAACGTCATGTACTGCATGCTGACAACTTCAGTGAAGAAGCACTGTGGTTGGGATGGTTTGTGGTGCCAGCCAAGGGGCATTGGAAGAACAAGAAGACAGGCAAACAACCAAGCAAGCAATGCTGTAAATGATGCACGGGTCTTGGTGACTTTAACGCTGTACTGCAGTGGATGTGTGATAGAGTAATACCGGTCCAATGTCATTGTGAGCAGGGCAAAGACAGATGCAATGGCGATCAGGACAACAAGAGAGAGAAGTGTGATGCAGGCAGGGAACTCATGTGGATATCCTTGTAACGTTACTAGGAGAATGGGAATAGCGACAGTGCCCATGCAGAAGTCACTGATAGCCAATGAGATGAGATGAACATTGGAAACGGTTACACGAAGCTTACGTTCCAGGGAAAAGAGAAGAATGACTAAGGAATTACTGAGGAATGCACAGAAGGCTAAGATGGTTTCCCCGACATAGTAAGGGATGCCTATGTCAGGCTGGACTGTTGGCACATCAGGACTTGGTCCAGGGAAAGTGGAGTTTGATGTCATGGTGATCATCTCTCTGTTCTCGCAGGCTTTCTGAAAAAGATAGCAGTTCCTGTGAATAAAACACTGACCTCCTTCAAAACCACATCCTGCTGTTGAAACGTGCAAATTTTCATTCCATAACATCACTGCATGAAACAAGACAAGGAAGAAACTGGCACAACGTCCTTCTGTATGAGGTGTGACGTGAATCAGACTATTTGATCAAGTGTCTCCCTAGTCTGCTCAGTAAACCAAGAGGTGTTGAAATATAGTCCTCCAGTCTCTGTGCTGGTTATTCTGGACAAATGATACATTGCATAGCATATTGTCAGTTGGTCTGAAACTGTTGTCTACCGTAATAGTGACTTCTTTCACTCTCCTCTGCGTGATGTAATCAATCATACCAGAGCTGACACTTGTCCGTTGCAATCATTAGATGCATTGACAAATTAACACAATGATCAGTATTCTACAGTTTGATTACATTTGTCTGTTGCCCCCCCCTTTTGTGCATAATTAGACAAGTAGTGCTGCATAGTGGCAGTAGAGGTTGTTCCCGTCCCTTTTCACTCCGACTGACCAATCAGAAGCCAGCATTTTGTGGGAGCCTGTGGAAGAAATGTAGAGGGATTTATAAGGGGAATATGACGCAATGATTAATAAGAGGATAACCAGGTGAAATAAGCAGGGATTATGGAAAAGTTGGCTCATGATTACTATATGGTTAATGGAAACAACACTACCACATATATCAAACCAACATAACACTTCTTGTGTTTTGACGTTGGTAGAGATCATAACTTAAACTTTTCGAAAGTGTTCATCCCCATGATAATCATAAACCAACTTTTCTGTAATCCCTACATGAAACACCTGGTAATCCTCTTACCTGTTGACCAAGTGCGTCATAACATTCCCCTCATGAATCCCTCTATATTTCCTTCTCATGGTCTCTCAAAACGCTGCCCTCTGATTGGTCAATTGGGTGAAAAGGGGGTGGGGCAGTATCTCTGTCTTGCAGCACCACATCAATGAAATGGGAAATGAAAGCACTGGAAAGTTCAGTTAAGCCGTCGAAAAATAAAGTCAGGTGGTTTCAGAAATACGTCGGACCATTTGTAATTACAAGTGTTTATTATGATTATTAAAACACCAACACTCAAAAATGAAGTACGGTGGCTGTGAAAATTAAGTCTGACAGTTCGAAAATGAAGCTTTCATTCTTTGAAAAATTTGATTTCTACTAATATGATTTAATATAGGCAAGATTGTTCGGACTGTCGTGCATCGTCTGTTTGGATCAGTTTGAATAGAGCTGGTATTTTTGACCGTTCATCAGGACAATACACCCAATTTTTTCAAAATCAGCACAATAGAAAGTAGTTTCTTAAGCTGAGGACAAGTTGAAGCGACACATCAACCACTAATCACTTTTCCCTGATAACCTGTGCACAAATATATCCAGGGTACCTGGCAAAACTGTCCAGTAATTAATAAGTGATTGTTGCTTCCAGTTGTCAGTCATTGGTATTTTGCAAGTTGTCACCACATGATCAGTGCCATGTCCATAAGAATAATCCTTTAACTCTAACTTGGGGGACAACCTGAGCAACTCTCGCACCTATTTTGCCAGAGTGTGAACTGAACTAAAAAGAAGCCCAAATTGTTTTGAATTTGTACTAACATCTTGCATTGTATTACTCTGGTAAGGTTATTTATGACTGATAAGACACTGCCGTGGAAGCCTGTGGGGAGACCTACTTGACAGCAAGGATGTGCTCCAGTACCGGCTCCAAGTTTGTCTATTGCACTGTAGTGGGGGGGGGGTGCTATTTACAATTTGTATGCTCAATTTGACAAATTCTATATGATGCATCATGAGCTGCAGCACGGTACAGTATGTGAGAGGCATATGTAGCATTGTGAGAGGCATATGTAGCATTGTGAGAGGCATATGTAGCATTGTGAGAGGCATATGTAGCATTGTGAGAGGCATATGGAGCATGTTATTGTGAACATAACAGGAATCATATGTCTTTGATAAATCATTGACAGATGATCATAAAATTCTGTGGCACATTTATTCAGTGAATAATACCTTACTTAAAATCCAAACAATATCAACAACCTTTAGGAACAAAATAATGTATAAATGAATGTACGTGAATATTTCCGAGTGACCAGTCCTAACAACCTTCATGCATTTTTCTTACAGTCCAGAAGATGACCAGAAACAAAAATAAAAATGTATTTTTAGTTTTCTGATAACATCTAATGTCATTTGCTGTCACCTAGGAACTCTTGTCCCCAAAAGCTATGCAACGGGGGAATCAAAAATAAATATTGATAACTTCAAGTGTCATAATGTTGCTAGTATTTACACCGTTAAGAGTTTTTTCTCGCAGGTACATTTATTTCTCTCCAGACCCAAAGCCGCCGAGTAATCACAATGTTTTTGTCCAACTCTTGAAAACAGATATGGCCTGCTGTGGTAACTTCAATGATGGTATAATGCAAGCCAGGCCGGACAGCTTCTTAGTTATTCTCAGTCCAAAGAGAAGTCCCACCATTTACACCAGAGGTATAATTTCTGGTGGCTTCTGATGCCAGTCTAGGAAGGCCATCAATAAAACTTTAAGTTTCAAAACAAGCATCACAAAGGCACTTGCAATGCATTTGCAACTGTAATCTATTGCTCCGATGCACTAACTATAATCTGTCTGAAGCAGGTTTGGTTTCAGCGGCAGGTGATTGAGGGTGCTGTTGAACTCGTTGATAGCTGCAGCAAGTTCTCCATCTTCACTGTGGGTTGCATTACATGATGTTTGTGCCTTCAGACCCAGCTCAGTTGCCTAAAGCAAAAATTGCCACAAGCAAAATTCGTTCTTACATGGCCACATTAAGCAATGATGCTCATTCAGTTGCTAACCATCGACCATGCACACAAGCCTGAAATCATGCACCCCATATCTTACTTATGCTCCAGCAAATAATGCCTGGACACCCACATATGATTTCAGGGAAATAATAAACACTCCAGCCTGATTGCTCTGCACAGAATTTTCAGTGTAAATATAAGCAAGCCATGCCATCTCCAAGAACTGTCAAATAAGTCGAATCATTTTGTACAATGTTTGAAGTCTGTTAGTTGCTAATGTAAAACTGCTTCCAGCAGTAATATGGGCCAAGATCTGAGCAAGTATTGATCAGTTTCCTGCAGCTGTTTGTTTCTGTTTTCTACAGGTATTTACCTTTGGGATGTCATCCAGTAGGAAGTAAAGCATAGCAAGGGCATGGCCAATGGTTGCCATGGCAGCAGGATCCTGATTGGTTACTTGCTCTCTGATGTCATGGATGGAATGCAAAACCTGTTTGGCTTCTGCTTCTTGTGCTTCATCTTTCAGAGAAAAATTAAATGATTTGTAAAATGCCAAGAAAGTTGGATCTCAACAAGGACATAAAATAATCACTCCATATCAAGAGCAAACCTCTGCACTCTTTCTTGAATTCATCAAGGAACTTAACTGTAAGATTTTATTTGCTGAGTGGGATCAAAAGAGGGCGCAATATTCCTATAAACGGAGGCTCCTTTAGTGGAAACGGCACTTTGCTGGTTTAAGAACGACTATGAAATGCAAGTGCTGCAGTATCATTGCAACCAACAAATAAAAACTCCTTTCAACCGATGAGGGGATGCTTCTGCTCAAGGAAGATTGGTCTATCTGTTGGCACTGTGGTCATATTACTGCTCTATCACAAGCCACTTAAGCTCTTGTCAAATTGTTTCAATGAGGCATTTACTTCAATCCTCCAGCATTGGTAATTCCCTGTTTTTTGTGAACTTCCTGGGAATCTGACATGCTTTGACATGTTTGTGACCGACAGGATAACGATTTGGATTTATGGAAACTAGAGTCCGCAGATGTTGCAATATACTAATGGTAACTCGTTTCAAGAATCTACGTTGGGTAACAGGCATTTTATAAGTTTGTCTAGGTAAACAGACATTTACCTAAGGACTCGACTTTTCGTTCCTCTAGTTCCACCACAGCAGATGACATGCCACTCTGAGTGTCACTTTTCTTGGTCCTATCTGTGACGATCCTCAGCAAATGACTGTGCCAGATGGACGTGACTCGAGTGTATAATGAGTCGGCGACATCCATGCGATTCTGACGGAAGAAAACATTGGCCATGTGGAAATAGCCACCAGATGTCCGGATATCATCCGTGCCAAACTCTTCAGAAGCATGAAAGATCTAGTTGGAATTGAAAAAATGTTCAAGATTCATTGAGGGAATGTAGGGTCTTACACAGTTTAAGCAAAAATGAATATATCTCATGCGCCACTGAAGCTAAATGTTTGGGGGTTAAGAGGCAGTCTTCATCAGAGTACATGAATAACCTTTATCAACAAGGACTCTCATTACCTGACTCCTTACAAGAAATATTTCTGTTCCTTTCAACTTGCAATTATGAACACAAAGTCACAGGTGGGAGTTAAACCCTGAACTTTCTGCAGACCAGCACATTCTGAACCAGCTCACTCATCAAAAATATGTCCGACCCATCTTTCTTTCTTTGTTACTAGTAAACGAGCCCAAGCTACTAGGATTTCCTACTCACATCATCGGCCAGGTGTCTCAGTGACTCATCATAGTTCCCTTGTGCGGCATACAGCAAGCCCAGGTTACGAGCCAGTTTAGATTTGATAGCTGAGCTGCAATTGGGTGTTTTGAGCACTGTCCACTGAGCCTGAGCCAAGTATTCCTCCGCCTGTGATAACTTATGTAAACCTGTCATCAAAAAAGTTCCAAAATGGATTTGAATACACCACAAGACTCTGACCAATTCAATTGAAAAAAAAACTAACCACTGACATCAAACAGTTGAAACAAAAAAGGCCACTAATTGTGGGAACACATCCCCCCAAAACAACACCAAAACCCACACATACCCCCTCCTAGAAAATTATGGCCCCTTTGCAGATTGGACAAAAGTTAGTAGCTAATGCTTAGCAGGGACTTAGCTTACCTATGCTGGCTTCAGCCAGGATGAGATATGACGGTACAAGTTCAATACTATCCAGTCCATGCACGTCAATGCTGAAACGAAGTGACTGCATAGCAGCAGGTACAGCTTGCTCATGCTTGCCTTCAAATAACAACTTCTGGCCAGTGGTCCGTGTCAGATCAATCATGTTTCTCTGAAAAGGAAAGAAAACTACATGAATATCTGCAAGGGCAACTTTCATATTACAAGTTTACATAACAAGAATCGCTTCAACCCTGAGACGACACCACTTTTTGTGTAAAAAAAGAGGAATTTTAGTTTCACTGGGTTCAAATATCTCGATTTTGGGATATCAAAAATGTTACCAAATTTAAGGGGTAGCACAATGCAGAAGGGAAAAAGAATTGATGCCTGTCTCTCCCTCAGGACTTAGATCACAAAGGCTACAATAATTACCATGGCAACCCTTTACACTAAATCAGACTGCCTGTCTTAATACCTGTCTCAGGAGCAGATCTTGTTCTTTTTTTCGGCGCTGTTCTTCTGACGAGAGAAATGACAACTGTGGGGTGCGTAACGGGATCAGCAACTGGCATATCTTCTCGTGAATACCAACCCAGTCTGCTTGCTGATGCTCAACACCACTACAACCAAACAATGTACAACGTGACCAAATTACATCCAGAAACTACAAATAGTGATCAATTATTCACAGTAGGCCTAACAAAGTAACATTACATACATGGGATGAACAAAACACAAACATTTGTTCCACTTTCCACCTTATAAATACCCAATCAAAGTAGGCAGAACCAAGACACAACATAAAGGCTCCTAGTTTATTTAACCTGGGTTCACTGGATGAGTTTTCTTAGGGTTCTTGGTTTGGAAAGAATTCCAAATACAGAGACTGACCTATTGACAGAGAAATTAGAAAAGGATTTTTCAGACCAGTCTCATCAGGTTTGTGCACAGGGCATCAAGTACAAAGTAGCGGGTATGTGTGGAATTGATTTCATAGGCCTAACATTTTTACACCAGCACATGGAAAGCAGTTAAGGTCCGGGGGGGGGGGTCTGTAGACGATTTTCCCACCCAGGGCCATGTCCCACACAGGGTATTGTATACTTGGGGACCCCCAGTTTTTTGACATTTTAATCTTGCAAAACTGGTAAGTGCCCCCCAAAAAAACAATGACAACACTCTGTATATTGCGCTGACCCTATTTCTGGGAAATTTTAAATTGTGAGAAAATGTGACTTTCTTACTGGTACACTAAACATGAAAATTTGAATCCAACATGTGGCACCTGTTAAACACAGTTTCCCCTTAACCTTTTCCTCAAAACCCTGCCCTTTTTGACAAAAATAACCCTAGAGTTATTGAACATGACGTCACAGATTATAGGAAGAGGGTCCCCAAATTTACAACCCCCTTACGGTTCCGTGTCTTCATAGTCTTATTTCTTAGATCGCGTTCTGACGTAAACCATCCTGCACTGCCCAAGGATGGAGAACAACTGACAGGCGTATGAGCAAAGCGAATAATCCGATATTCTGATAAACAAGTTTAATCAAACCATGGACCAACAAATGATCAGAAAAATGTTACAGTTTTAATGTTAGAATAGAAATGTTCTCACCAGTAGAACGTCACTCGACATTTCGTACACTGCACAAATGCCGGCTTTTGACACAGTTCACAGAGAAGTTTCACGCCTTTGGGGTTTGCAAGAGGATTCAAAGTCATGTTTGAGGAAAGTTGAAAACAGGCCAATGACTTGTAACCATATATAAGCATAAACTTCAGAAAACTTTTGTTTTTACGCGCCGTGGCTTGCCACCAAATCTGCTCTTTCCGCCATCAACTTACTGTTGCCATTCGCAATGATAAACAACGCATGCGTAATAGGAAGTATTGAGCAACGACTGTTTTTACTACCTTTCCCAATTTTTTTGCATACAACAGCCGTAGACACAAGTGTCTACCTTCTAAATAAAAATAAATCCCCTTCTTAAATAAATTTTATAATCCTTATAAAAAATTTGTTAAGTTTTTCTTTACTGCTTAATTATTTATCGATGTGCAAAATGAATTCTAAATGGTAGCACAGTATCATTATTTAGTACAGAACGTATAAATTATAAAGGTGCGATTGACAGAAATACTTTAAATATCTTATTTCCGCCTCTGTGCAATCGCCGTGCCCCTTGTTACACCCATCAGGCTGATGGTTGTATGCCAGACTATGATGAACGCGTCGTATCGTCTTACATACATATTATCTGCATGCGTATGCGCGGTATTATACCACGTGCAACGTGATCGATATCACTTCCCACGGCCCCAAGGAGAACCGAGGCGGTTAACTCTGAATCTTTGATAAATTTCTTCATTTTCAGTCAGTCAAAGTAATGGCAGTCAAGAACGTAAAGAAGCAGAAGGTAGGTATTCCAAGGCCACGGTTAATCATGGTTAATCTGTCCATTCCAAGCAACTGCAAGCTTAATTTTTTGCCCCGCCATGAACACAGTGATGCACCCTTCACTGCTCTTCATGCCCTTGTGAGTTGCATCATGCATGCACCGCGTGGGTTCACTCGGGCCACGCGTATGTACGGGGTCGGCGCAGACCTCGTGGTGGCACACACGTGGACCACTGGGTATTGGCGTCGAAATTTACGAAATTCTATCTATCGTACCTTGTTTCTGTACTGTCATGACTGTAGGCTCCCTGCTTTGTCATTCGAAACATTTTTGTTCTAGATGGGGAAAGCTTGCTTGTCAGCCTATACTTGTCTGCTTGTGAGAATCTGAGATGATGTTTGTTAGAGATTGGCACATAAATGGCAGACTGGGTGACTGTCATGGACTTCGTTTGATTTGGGAGAATTTGGGGCCAGGCCTACTTTTTTTGGTATCTGGACATCTCGTACCCAAGACAACTCGCGCCCGCGACATCTCGTATCCAAAATTTCACAACCGGGACAACTCGTACAGAGGACATGTCGTACCCGGGATGACACTTCGTACCCGGAAAACTGTGACCTGCTGAGGCTAAGTGAGGTTGGGAAGATTGAAACTTTTTTGGTTACTCCTGTTAACATGAGTAAGATGCGTGTGCATTACGCTCGGGTACAGGAGTAATAACCCCCTCTAGTGAGAGTATACTCTTGCTGACCCTTGGGTTGTACTCCAGCCATTGAATCTTGGATAGTGTTTGACTGTTTTTGTTTGCTAGGCCTGCATCCTTTTTAAAAATTGGAGGGGGGATAGTATTGGGTGGCTGATTGAACTGTCTCTCAAACACAGTATGTGGTGGCAGTATGCTTCCACCAGTGAGGTAGAAATGTCTTACGAGTAAGACAGTGGGCGGCAGCACGTTCAGACACTGTAAGACATCCGAGGTAGTGCGGTATAAAACGAAAGGTGGTGCGGTATCTGAGTTTACGAAATTACTAGGTGGTGCGGTATCTGAGTTTACGAAATTACTAGGTGGTGCGGTATCTGAGTTTACGAAATTACAAGGTGGTGCGGTACCTGCGTTTATGAAATTACAAGGTGGTGCGGTACCTGCGTTTATGAAATTACAAGGTGGTGCGGTACCTGCGTTTATGAAATTACCAGGTGGTGCGGTACCTGCGTTAACAAAAATATAAGGTGGTGCGGTTCCCATCACAGTGTGAAGTGCAAAGACACTTCACAGTGCATGTACTTGTGCGGAAACGGTACAAATGAGACCAGTGGTGTGCGGAGGGTCTCACAGACATACCTTAAGTTGTGCGGAGATGATCATGAGGCAAAGTGGTGCGGTTTGGAAACCTCTAAAACACACAGCTGTGCTTGAAATGATACAAGTCAGCAATTGCGAGGCCTTGGAACTCAAAACTGTTTCCCTGTTGTCAAATGGGAATGTAATTTCCATTAGAAAAAATTAATTTCAAGTGAAGTATGAACAAAGCACCTCCAAATTTTGTTTGATTTTCATTCATTGCTTACTGGACACAAGCATCGAAAATGTTGGAAGTATCTGCTTGACTGAGGTTCAAACACTTGGAAAATATCTGACAGTTTGCTTCCAAATGTGAAGGCTGTAATTTCATTGCAACTGCATTTTTTTTGTTTCACGAAGGATAACGTGTTTGAAGGCATTTGGATATTTTTACGTGATCAATTTATAAGTATTGGTTCAGGTTTGTCAATTTCACTTCGTCTACATAGTGTGATTTATTTTGCAAAATGCAAGTGGGAAGTTTTGATTTCACCTAAAGTGTTTGAGGAACATGTACATCTTCATTATCCCAAACCCTCCTCAATCCTTCACCTGTTAGAGGACGGAGGAGTGTTAGGGTTAAGGACTTCTGAATCTAAAAGTGTCATTTAAAAAATGTTTGACTTGAAATGTATTTTGTTCACTTTTGCTCAACTCTGTGATTACGTCTAAACCATTAACCAAGTGGGGCTGGGAGATTGCTTGCTGAAATACAAATGAAATAACACAAGCAAAATACTGAACTTGGGAGATGCTTGCAGTATTTTCGGTTTCATGTATCCAGTAAAACAAATTCACTCAAAATCACACCTTGGCCTCTTCAATTATGCAAATTTACTAGTTTTCATGAGAGGTGCAAACGAATCACTTAACTTGATTGCTACCCGATGACGGTGGCTGCTTCAGTTTATGAGCTGTCAACGCTGGTATGTGTGACCTGGTTCAACGCACTGATGCTGTACTCCTGTCTTGATCCCATAGACAAGGGTTGGAGCAACTGGGTCATGTAAGTCAACGAGCAGTTCTCAGACAAAACATGCTGTTTGTGTGATTGTGAGAAACTGATCAGGGTTCTCTTGCATGGTACAACTCAACAGGAATCCATACTGATTTAAAGACCAACTCCAATGGTTTGAAAAGTTTCAAAAGTAGACCAGTACATGTATTGTGTTTAGTGTGTAATAAATCATATATTCCTTACCAAATCATGTCTGTTATTTTTGTAATTTTGCCACAACTTTTGAATGGTGTCTTCGAGTTTATGAAAAATTTCCACAATCTGACTGCTGGCGGCGCTGTTGAGAAACAAAATTTGTATGATGTTATACCGGAGAAAACATTGAAACTGGTATCTGTGGCATGACTGGCTCTGTTACAAACCTACATGTACATGGAGCAACATGTGCGTGCACTATGTACTAGGGATGATCTGTAAACCGGGTCTATTGTGCTGCATTATCTCGTTTCCATTGGCAATTTGTGCTCCTTTCTTCATGAGTTACAATGTTGAAATTACGCGCCATTGGTGGATGTACTAGAAATTCTGTGAAAGAACCGGGATTGAAATTCTTTGAGTTTCTGAAGAATGAGAGCATTCTTTATGCTTTATGGGCTGTTGTCTGTGGAAATGCGCTATGCATGCCTAAAGTGCATACACCATGAAAATCAATATTCATTAGATGCTGAAGAGTCATGATGACACGTCCATTTACAAAACCGGACTGCACTCGCAGGAAAAATGGGTACAAAAACTGTGCTTTATTAACGCAAAAACGTGTATTGCAAGGGAGATATTGATATGTGCCACTTTTATTAGACTTGGCTCTTCAAAATAGGATTCAATATGAGAAAAGTTAGCATCGTTGGAGTTGGTCTTTAAGTGTAAAGATTCCATCTATCCTAAGCTATAATCCTTACAGAAAGTCTTATTATTGAAGAAGAGATTTTTATTGCTACATCCTTTGTCTTTGCTTACAAGCGTTACCGATGAAATGGCTTGTCCTTATTACATTTATTTATCGCTTACGATCTTTCCAAAAAGGAAAAATAATTGTAGCGTGCAGTATTATAGTTACAATGTACATGTATCTTTGCCACAGAATGATACGGTGGGTGAAAAATCCTTTGTACATGTATTCTTTAAGCACATGACAATGAAGATTTGGCCATGGACGTAAAAGGAATTCATCGTCACTGTTGATTGTTTTCCTCGTCTTGTGATCAAATGGATTGGCTTCGTTCACTAATTAGGTACTTGTTATCTTTTATTTATTTGTTCAACAGGGCAAGGCTCAAATTGCACCAAAGAAGTAAGTCAAAGTTTTTACTTGAAACAAATTGGTTCCCCTTGAGTTGACCACTTCACCTGTTCTAAATATTTAAGTTAACCTTGGAAACTGTATAGTTACTACGGCTTTTACTCTAAGTTTATTAATTTGGCCAGTAATGAAAATTTTACTGAATCTGCAAAAGTCCATTTTTAGTGCTCAAAAAGTTAATAGATGGTTCTGAACACATTTTCATATCCATTCATGAGTAAACCTTTATGGCATTTGTTTCTTGACATCCATTTCTGCTTTCAACAGGAATGCCAAGGCCCAAAAGGTGAAGCCAGTCAAAAAGCAGGTAGGAACTTGGCAGGTAGTCACAGGTGGCAACAGCCTAAGCCCTCCATTCAGATTTTGTTTGCCAGGTCTAGCGTAACCTCAAAGCATAAAGATTTGCAAATTTCCCTGGCGTAGTTTCTATGGCTCAAGTCTTTTGATCAGTGTTCAGTTAGAAAGTTTTGATATTTGCTTGCTGACTTGTGGATTCTGCGGAATTTGGACGTATTTGATGGCTACTTTTAATTATTTCCTATGTAGGAACCTGCAATGGAAGAGAGCAGCAGTGAGGAAGAAGAAGAAATGGAGGTCATGCAACTATTGGAACCAACCAAGAAAAAGGTGACCAAACAGATGCTGGCCAAGAAGACAGCCACCGCGGCCAAAACAACACCGGCCAAAAAAGGACAGGCCAAAACAGTGGCAGCCAAGAAGAAAGTGCCAACAAAGGTAACATTTTGGAGAATTTTCAACTTTTTTCTGCAAAGATTGAGTTCAGTGTCATATTGCTGTTTTTTTGGAGAGTGGAAGTGTTATGCCCCTGTTGAGTCTAAGAGCATGCTTTGGTTATTTTGACTGGCATTGATCGTATCACTCCTTGGCATCACACAGTCAATCAGTCAAGTCTGAAACTCTAAATGTCATTTTGTATCTGTGTGTAGGTTGAAGAGTTTGAAGATGACGAGGATGACGATAGTGAGGAGGAAGAGAGTGAGGAAGAAGAACCTCCAAAGAAAGTCATCAAGGCAGTGACCAAGGCCAAACAGCAAGCTCCTGCAGAAGAGGAAGATGATGATGATGAAGATGAGGATGAAGACGATGAAGACGATGATTGGGATGAAGATGATGAAGAAGACATCAGTGAGGAGGAAGAGATTCCTCCCAAGATGTTGAGCAAACAACTCAAAGGGAAGGCCAAGCCACCTCCACAGATGGATATTGATGACGATGATGACGACGACGAATATGACAGTGACGAAGAGGATGAAGAAGATGACAGTGATGAGGAAGAAGAGGATGAAGAACTCACAAAAGTCCAACAGGTACGAGGCGAGAAGGGTTTGGGGTATGGCAGAGCAAAAAAGCACAGATTTGTTTGGATTCTCCCTAAACTGCACTTTGGACTTTGACCTCAAGGCTTTGTCTTAATTCTGTGTATTGTAAAATATGTTGGACAGTATCCAGTAGTAGTCTTAATGAATGAGTTGTGAAGCTGGTTCACAATTTGTGGCATGTTTACAAATCCCAAGACTGCTTGTTGCATTGATCTTGTGGCATTGGGTTATCAGCAGCATCAGCGTCAAACACAGAGATAGCAGGAGTAAGTTCCGACGAAACTTTCACTGCTAGATCTTGTGGTGGCTGATGGGTAAAGACTCTGAGCCTGTTTGGCTTTGTGGCTCTTGCTTCACTTTCCAAGGTTCCTAACCAAAGCCATTTCATGGAGTTGCACTATCTCAGTCTATTTATATTGAGGGTTTTTTTGGTGCTAAACCCATCAGGTCAAGGGTAAGGTCACGAGTGCTAAAGCAGTTGCAAGGAAGGCCGAAGTAGAAGATGACAAAGATGATGATGATGATGAGGATGACGAAGATGAAGAAGATGACGATGAAGAGGAGGAAGATGAAGAGGAGGGTATGTCTGAGATGTCTTACCGATAAGGTGCCAAGAGGGCGACAGTTCACACTGCACGTTGTCTGACCAGCTTTTGCACTTTTTTACTCACTGTAGTTCCTTATGTCGATTAACCATTTTGACCAGACTGATTATCACAGAGATTCCCTTGTTTTCTGCAGAGGAAGAGGCGGCTCCACCCCTAAAAAAGAAGAAGATGGCACAAGGGGATGCAGAGACAACTAAGAGCAAGAAAGAGACAGTAGGAGGAGGTAAAATTGTGGCTCTCTCTTTCTCTGCATTCTTGTCTGGTTGAGTGTGTAAATCTTGTTATAATCACACTTAACATTTCATTTCTCTCCACAGAGGTCATTTCCATCTTCATCGGTGGCATCGCCAAGGGAACAGCAGATGAAGACGTGGAGCAGTTCTTTACTTCTAACGGTGTACAGGTCATGAATGCAAGGGTCATCCCAAACAAATCGTAAGTGGAGGAAATGTGATTTCACCTTTAAAATAACATCTAAATGCAAGGCAGGTGGAGGCATTGCAGATTCCCAGTGCTTGATTTAGTGATGACATCTCTACCATAATTAGCAAAAACAGTGACTATCTAATCCTGATAGTTCCTTTGCTGAATGGTTCGAGGCATTTGTCTGAAAATCGTTGCACGTAGAAGCAAAACTTCACCTCACTTCAGATACTTAACTTTCAAAAACCTCAATCACTAAAGTTTTGGTTGTCAATGGCTCAGGTTTGCCTATGTCGACGTCACATCAGAGAAGATGTTCAAGAAAGCTATTGCGTTGAATCATCAACAAATCAATGGGTCTGAAATCCGATTGGAACGAGGCAAGAATAAGTCCACTGGTGCCACTCCTAGCTTTGGTAAGGCCAAAATTCATTTCCACATACCGTTTATGTCATAAATATTGCAGTATCTGAATTGCCATCATATTAGAAATGGAATTTGCAGGAGTAAGTACATTTCTTCCGATGCCTTATGAGGCTCTGTAAAAATCAGTGACTTTAAAAAGTTCATATGAAATTTGTGAAAGTCTGCCCTCTGGTCATTCCTTGTTCATTTTGTAGTGTAAGTCACATTGAATTTTGTAGTGTAAGTCGCATTGAATTTTGTAGTGTTAGTCACATTGCATATTCCACTTGTATTTTCCTTGTAGGGCCGAGAGATAATTCCAATGACAGGACCTTGTTCGTCAAGGGTCTTAGCTACGACACGACAAAAGAGACACTCCAAGAGAAATTCCAGTGCCAGGAAGTGCGTATGCCCATGAGAAGTGGGAGACCAGGGGGGTAAGCATGAAATCAAATCTGTCTAAAAGTTGTAATCATCTGCTTTGCTTGCTGACGTGTGGTGTAAAGCGACCCCAATAAGCAGTCAAAAGATTTGTTGGGATTTTGCTGGATTGAGGAAAACAGATCCCAATCAGATAGGGAATATCACTGGAATATTATATGAGGTCAGCAAATTGTCTTGGGGAGGACATGGTTAACCTTTGAAACTGGTGGACATTGAAGTTGTCATCCAGGTGGCAAGTTAACTATTAGCCAGTAAAAAAGGATGGGTTGAAATATGGCATTGAAAGTCAATATTGCTATGATACTGTCGAACTGTGTTTAAACAAACAAGAATAAATTTGGTTGCTTTTCACCTGTCACTGCAACTGAACTGAGCTGGGCAATGCATTTATTTGTAGATACGCATACATGGAATTTGAGAGCGAGGCTGAGGTAGAGAAAGCCATGAAGGAAATGCAAGGTGTTGAGATTGATGGCTGGAACATCATCTTAGATTACGTTGGGGACAAGAGTACCAATAAGAGGCCAGTAACCGGTGGCTCTGGTAAGAGTATCTCCACCCCTTTCCTTTTGAGAGAACTGTCAGTCCAAACCTAGGGCCTGTGTCCAGGGGTTTCATTTGAAGGGAATGCAGAAATAAGGAGGATTTTGGAGAAGAGCAGTCCTTTGTTACAGTACACAGAACTTTATTTTCCTTGAAAGATTGTGTCTTCCTTTAATTTTACATGTGTACACATCAGTGGATTGGCTGAATTCTGATAAGTTTCTAGCAATTCAGGGTTGATGAGTATCAACCGTGTATCTGTTTTTCCTACTTGTTTACCATGCAACTCTGTCTTGGCCTGATGGTCTTAATATGCTTTGCTGGTGACACTGTTCTTGTGTTCCATCACAACTTGTGGTTGTCAGAGAACCGAACGCTCTTCGTCAAAGGACTGACCGATGACATGACGGAGGAAGATCTGATGGAGAAACTGGGAGCAGTTGAAGTACGCAGACCTAACAAACGAGGAGAGCCTGGCAGTAAAGTAGAGTAAGTCTTGCTGCAGTAGATAAGCCCTGACATCGCTCTTTTGTACCTTGCTTAGATGTGTCTCGTCCAAAAAGAATTCAGTTATCAGTTCAAATGTGAATTGATTTTGCTGTACCAATTTAAGCTATTCACACAAGTTACAAAGTGTGTCTTTCATATATCATTGGAATGATAACTCTTTTTGCTATGCTTTACAGCTTGAACAGGTGAAATTAGCCCATAAAATAGAGTCCATTCATACATAGATTTTGGCATCCACATATCAAAGTGGAGTTTGGAGATTTCTCATTTAGGCTGTGTGCCATTACTTATGGAAGCCACTTATTAGCGGCTTTTGCCATATTCCATAGACATGTGCAATAATGCCAGACACAGTGTGAGAGGAGCATATGGTGCCCTCAACTGTCATGCACACAGCCATTAGACATCTTGCAGTAATTCCAATCCATTGCATTTTGTAATCAGCTTTGCCTATGCTGACTTTGCATCGGAGGCTGCTGCCCAGCAAGCGATGGTGGATAACCAAGGGATTACTCTGAAGGGGGCCTTCCTGACTTTAGACTTTGCCCAGAACAAAAGACGGAGTGATGGCGGAGGCAGTGGTGGAGGTAAACATGAAATGCTGGAGTTTTGGGGACAAATTCGTCTTTAAATATGTAACAGAATGCAGTCTTGATTCATCAACACACAGGAGAACTTTTTCATGACAAAGAAGATAGCATTCTCAATCCTTGCTTCCTTGCATTTGGGCTCTTTGATTCTTCCAAAACATTGTGCAGGTTTTTTTGACACAAAACGGAAGTTACAGTTGAGGACCTGGCTTACTTCAGAATTGCTTCTAATTAAAATTATTCTATTTTTATAAAACTTCTATAATTAGGAGGAGGAGATCAGCAATTTGACAAGAAGACGCTGTACATCCGAGGTATGTCTGAGGACATAACAATAGACCGTCTACAGAATGTCCTCGGTGCTGATTCTGTCAGGATTCCCTTGGATAGAGAGACTAACCAACCGAAAGGGTGAGTTCAGTGACCTCATCAGCCTCCTCATTAAGCTCTGGGTTAAAAAAAAGCTGCCAAATCTAAAACCAATTGTCTCGTTTTTGCATTAGAAAGTGACAAAGTTGCTGCTGGTGTCAGGAGTGTTTCTGGACATAAAAATGTATTCTATCTTTTCTATTGTATCCATTGACCTGAGAATGTTTGGAAACACATTTATTGAATTGTTTTCTCTTTCTTGTTAACTTTTTGTTCATACATGTATTCTCAGTTTCGTTGGTTTATTTGCATAAATTTAACTTAATTTTCTCTGCTTCTTGAGCTCACCCCAAAAAGTCTCAGATAGTATCCATTGTATTGCAGTAGCCATAGGTGCATACGTATATGCTCACTGATATCTGAGCTCATGAAAATGTCATCATCATTATACTATCAGTGATACTTTGCACAACAATGACTCTTTGTTAAGGTTTGCATATGCTGAATTCAGAAGTGAGAGCCAGGCTAGTGCTGCATTAAACAAACACAATGGCTCAGACCTAGATGGCTACACCTTGAACATCGACTATGCTAAGGCACGAAAAAGCTTTGGATCTCCAAGAGGTAAGAATGGATGGATGAGTTTTGATATTGCAGACTACCTAGTCAGTGCTCCTGTCTTGGAAGCAGTCCTTTTTAGATTTCTATTCCGGAATATGTGATCTCACTTGCTGTACCATATGTATGTTCTTGTGGATCATTTTGGTAACTAACCTCACAAAGACGAGTCAGAAAAGTAAGCTGTACTGACATTTGATCATTCTTTGACTGATGCCAAAAGGATGGAGGCAGTACAATCAGACTGCTTGTGTCCATAAGCAACATGCTTTACAACAATAACTGTCAGTCCACTTTGGAATCATAGACAGGGAAGCTGTTACCAATGAATACACACTCACAATGAAACATTAATTTTTGTCTTGGTTTGGCAGGAGGACGAGGGAGCTTTGGGGGTGGATTCCGTGGTGGCCGTGGAGGTGGTGGACGTGGATTTGGTGGAGGTGGTGGACGTGGATTTGGTGGAGGTCGCGGAGGTCGTGGTGGACGTGGCGGTGGCTTCAGAGGAGGCCGAGGAGGGCGTGGTAAATCCAATAATCCCTCAAAGAGTTACCTGTAAATGCCCAACAGTCCTATCTTAAAATTTGTAAAGAGTTGCATTTAAAACGTCCATCTTACAATTAGAATTTCTAACAATCCCTTCATAAACATCATGTTCATGTACTAATATGGTTTTGCCATTTTCTTTCCCATTGCAGGAGGTTTTGGTGCAGGGCGGGGAAAGAAGACAATCTTTGATTGAATCGGAGCTTATTAACATTGACTGTAACAAAAGCTACACATTGACAAACCTACTCTTTGACATCTCTATGTAAACAGTAATTTGGAAAAAGTACAGTGAACTTCTGAGTGGAGATCTTAAGTTAATCTGGGTTGTTTCAGCACATAATCTGGGTTGTTTCAGCACATAATCTGGGTTGTTTGAGCACCATTGAGGCATAAATGGATCCAGTGAAGTCATCAGATGTTATGTGTACTTAGAGAAATCTTTGCTGTGAAGCTGCAGACTTGGTCCAGTCTCATCTGCCTTTCTACTATTTCTGCCTGATAGTTATGAGCTGTGTATGGACAGCCACCACCGTACCTTGAATTATCAAAGATAACCTTTGAATTGGAATTCTTGAATTTCAAAATACTTCTTGAATTCACTTTTTAGCACTAGTTTTATTGAAAAGTTTAGTTGACGTATTTTAATTTTCGAATGCGTTTGTGAATGCATGTACATGTACATGCATTGGTAGAGCACAACTGAAGCATTCACCTTTTTTCTTTTAGAAATGTCCGATTTTGAATACAGGTACAATGGAATTTTATATTCTTTTCGATATCCACTTGTTGTCTATTCATGCTTTAAATTTGGCAAAATCATTTTTCCTGTTGTGAACTAGTTATGTACATGTTCCTAAAATTATTAGAGAGATTGCCTCTCGGTTTAATAAAAAAGGAAATGGTTGGAGCACAGTGTATTTGTTTCCATTTAACAAGTTTTCGGTTTAGTCCTTGGGGTGATGACTTCAATGGACTGTGAAGATAAGAATTTCCTGTGGTGGGAGGGTAGGAGTGGTTAGAGAAAATGCATGTTCTTGTTTGAAAATTAATCTGAAGACAAATCGAAATTCGGCTGGATTTGTAAGTTTTGACCAGGGTTCTGTGATGTGTTGTTTGGCAGTGGTGCTCGATCTTGTAGGCGGGGAGTGGACTGTATTGGTGGTGGATGAAACTACGTTTAGTACACGAGACCACATAACGAGTGATGAACATGTATTTTAGCCTGCGAGTTGATGATCAGAGGAGTGGTTTGACAAGAACCGTTCGTTGAAGAATTCCATGTTCAACTAAATTGGTTTTGTACATGTACACGGTGATATCGTTGCTAGACAATGTTGCTCCAAGGAAAAGGTTAGAATTTCCGGTGGGCCAGCAGCAGAGGCGTAAAAAGGATTTACGAGGGGGCACCAGCTTTCAGTGGGGACGTTTTTGTTGGCCTGTTTAATAATCATTCATCTTTTTTGAGGGGGGCATATCCCCCCTTGGCTAAGCCACAGAATCATTGTGGTCCCCTCCTTCATGTTGTGATTCAGTCCCATTTTCAAACGCATTAATCTGTGAAGACGTGCGTTAACTTACAGGGGCCGATCCAGGAATTTCTAAAGGGGGCGGGGGGTGGGGCGTGATCCCAGATTTTCCAAGGGGGGTGAACTAAAGAAGTACGGCGTGGGGTCGAGAGCCATTTTGGTTTCTAGGCGCTCTGTGGTTCCATTGCAGACAATATGACACCTCCATTTTTCTTCTCCATTTTTGGTCGGGGGGGGGGTGCGCCCCCACGCCCCGGGATAAGCTCTTTGCCTCCGTCGGCACTTCTACCTCTCCCCTGTGCTGCTTCTTCTTCTTCTTTTGAAACTCTAAGGTGCAGAAGTAATTCTTATTTTAAAAACCCAAAAGGTGCAAATGTCGTCAATCCAACTCGGTGATGGATTTGTTTCAGTGTACTTTATTTGTTGTCATAATTTATGGCCAACGCAGGGGGCCTATCCAATGGCGTAGCCACGGGAGGCCTGGGGCACGTGCCAGCCCCCCCCCCAAAAAAATGGATAAATGGATATTGAACAAGGCTAACAAAACTTGCCCTCAAAAAAAGCACACCACTGAAAGCTGGTGCCCCCCATAAGATGCTGGTGCCCTCTTTGTGCCCCCCTTGTAAAATCCTAGCCACGCCACTGGGCCCGGTCTCCCCTAAATCCAAACAAACAGCAGGCATTGAGTTTCGTATTCCCAGGAATTGATATCTTCACTTCAGACAGGATAGACTGAGATTTAAAAGATTTGAAACTTTGCATGGTGGAGGCTAGACTTCGAGAACATATTTTGCAGGTACATCATGTGGGATCGATCTCTTTTGTAAGAGTGGTGATTCTTAGAGGAACCGGTGAGGGTGAGCTCGACATTCTCTCCTGAGGACGACCAGAGCATCCCTGGTCGAAACGTCGAGTTTACACTCACCTGTTCTCATCAGACTTAGAAGCCCCATACTTCCAGAAGAAGTCGACTTTGCATGAGTACCTGCAAACCTACTGGCGGAATGCCCTTACTTTGTTACATGTATTGATTGATTAGTGACAGGACACAATGAATGGCAATAGATAATAGATGACGTATAGGGCGGCTTGGACATTGCCAGTGCCGGTGCTGTGGGCTTGCTCCCCATCATCAACAATTGGTGCATTCATCTGTGACCCGAAGGGGCCCGTCCATTGTGCGCGGCAAATGGTCATCACATCGTATGCGAGAAGGATACATGTACGAGCAAATATACTTAATGGCTGCTGCCAAATGGAAGACTTCTGCTGATGACTATTTCTGACCATGTCTTCAGTCTAGATGATTTTTATCGGGAACCAAAAGGCAAGGAGAGGGTTTCCTTGCTCTTTTCCAGAACAAGGAATGACTTTGGTGGCAAAGACGAAACCTACCGCTAAATTCCCTATCAAGAGCCACAGAGTCTTTCTGGTTTTGTTATTTGGCGTCGTGGGTGTAGTCATGTATGCATCGACCATCCTAAAGACTCCAATCCGTAGCTTCACCAAGATGGCTGTTGAAACAACGTCAGAGGATAAGGGTTGCATAAGAAACGTGAGTAGGTCTATCAGGAAGGAGAACAACTCAAGAACCGATACCAACCAAACCAAGACTGAGACGGAATCATTTACTCAGAGAAACACAAGCCATCATTGGTGTTCAGGTTGGCACAACTATAGCGGGAACATGACCAAGGAAAAGTACTTTTTAACAGCCGTAGTCTTGGTTCGTATTTATGCCAGTGACATCAACCACTTTACAACCAGAGAGTTAGTCCAGTGGTTGCAATATCTCACCTACGCGGGTGTTGAACATGTTTATGTTTACGACTCTTTCCTATACAAAAACGAATCTCAGAAAGAAAACCTGCAATGTTTCATCGAAAACGGCTACGTGACTTATGTTAACTGGAGCCACACAGCACGCGAGGATGTAACTCTGCGACCTAACGTAGCCCAGCAACCTGCTTACCAACACTGTCTCACTAATTACCGCCATCAATTTACTTGGCAGACGTCTGTTGATATCGACGAATACCCCTACTGCCCTAATGACCACGCCCCAGGATTCTTGAGCCGTGTTGTCAAGAAGACCAACAGCAAGCAGAAAGGGAAGCTCGGTGTGATTTATATGTCCAACTTTTTGTTTCTTGGCAAACCACTGAATGCCAAGGAGCACCCAATTCTAATCGACAGACAGTGGCGCCGCATCAGGAAGCCGTGGAGTTCTCAAACTGTGAAACCAGTGTACCTGTCGGAGGCGGTGAAAAGGCCTATGGTTCATAAGCCTCGGCTGCATAAGGGTTTCATGTCCGTCATATCAGATCCTAAAACACTAAGGATGAACCATTACCACGGGGAAAGACAGAAGGCTAAAACACAAGAAGATACTGGGATGAAGCCGGTCGTCTCTGCCTTGAAGGCGTGCCTAGAAGATTGCCAGCTGGGGTGCTGTTGATGGATTGGGACTGTGTTGAACGTACAATCACAACTAAAAGATCAAATCTGCAAACATAATCAAATGAAGATTTGTACATGGAATTTATACTCCTCTTAAACTGAGAAATGGAATTTCTATGAGAAATCAAAATGTACCGTCTGTCATGTTTTTGTGCATGTTTTGTATTCAAGATAGACAATGTAGATTACTGTAGGTAAAGTTGGGTTTATTTTTGTATTTATATTTTGCTTGGGTCACATTACTTTGCTTGTTAATTTTGTTTCCCGCTTCTAAAGATTTTGGATGTGCATATATGTTACGCGCATTACTCCAAAACTGATCAATTTTTTACAATTTCCAATTTTATTTGTTGTAATTATTTCTGTCTAAGAATGAACATCAGATGTATAAAACTTTCAAGGGTACTCTATATTTAGCCTATCGATTTGACAAAAATCAATTGTTCTGTCTGACGTGCAGTTGTCAAAATTGTTTAAGTCCTTATAGGCCCTATTTTTGTAAATGTTTACCAGTCCTGCCCCCATGTACTTCAGGGATACTTGGATGAGAATTTTTTTTTTATAGAATAGAAATTACTATAACATGTATTTTCTGTTAGATATACAAAATGTATTGGTTTTAAGTTGTCTTGTTCCAGGTTATGTCTCCTGCAAACTGGTTGTAATAGAAAGTGCCATCTTAACTCGCATGTTTTATCCAATGTTAAGCTCGTTAGTTGGATGAAAGGGTATTTAATAACCATTTTATTGTACAGTGAAGATTGTAGGGAGGATGCAAACGATTTGCGTCCAGTAATTAACGATATAAAGAACTTCTATTGATGTTTCAACTTAATTCTTTCAAAATCTTTCTGTTATTACCTGTGTTTGCCACAGAAATGATTGAAAACCAGGGAAGACGTGTGTAATATTCCTGGGCTATCCAACTACATGTACTCGTAGAGTGTGGTGGAAGTAAAGAAAAATGCAAAGATGAAGAGACTGAGAACCCTTACTTCGAATTTCCTCGCCATTTTTTTGTACAGGACAATTGTACCTTTGTATGATAACAAGGATTTCAGAAGTGATGTAAACGATGCTGTCTTGCAAGGTGACCTTCCTCCACTTTTTCAAATTTTCCAATGTCGATGGGTCTATAGGGCAAATAATACCGAACGGAAATCTCGCTTCGATAGTGCCACACTCCTCTTAAAGCCGAAACATGAACACCGACATGTACATGAATTGGGTTGGCGATTGTAATGTAGGCTTTTCCGCGTCAACGAATCAACTAAACGCTATACATGTACTATTATTTGCTCAACAGGAACACACAAAGTGCGCCCTCTATTAATGGTCCATGGTCAAGAATGCAGTGCTTCGTGTCTCAGTAATAATGAGTATGACCCCACAATACAAAAGGTGAAGGTGTTGGAGCAGTCTCATTCTCCGAGGTTTTCCGAGCTGAAACTAAAATTAAAAAAAGGTATCTTGTTAGGTGTATTATTTTAGGTGCGACTCGTTCACTTTTGGAGGACATTTCCTTCACGGAAGGTAGCCCTAAGTCCTGAAGGTTATCGCCATTTTGGAAAACAATGGGCAATACTCACTTGCAAAATAAAGCGCTTTTAAGCCCATTTTTATCAAAATTAAATTGAAGCTCAAGGTAGATCGGTCATCTGTGCCTCTTTTTTCAACAATACTTGAGTTCACGTGGGATCTGATAGAAAACTCGAGCGAGGTACGCATATTGTGATGGGGCCGAGTGTCATGAAGATTTGGGCCTCTTGACTGGCATGCAATCTTCGAGGTACTGTAAACTCTCATTTCTTTGAGCTTTGATCGGATGCGTTTTGTTGTACCAGTGATTTGGGGTAAGTACATGGAACCTATATCTGTCGATTATGCCACATATTTACAAAGAATTTCAAAGGGTTCATTATCACAAAAAATAATGGAACAGTCCTCGTCTTAACATTGAGACAAAAATGGACATAGCCTTTGTGTCAGAATACTCAAAATCGCAAGGTTTATATACGTCGTCTGTCTTAATTACAGATTTATGAACAACTTCGACGTAATGACAGAGTCAAACAAATAATGAACTTTTTATTTATCGTACATGTAATTTTCATGAGGGGGTGAAAGGAACTAATTCTCCTCGGCGGCGTTGAGGTGATTGTTAACATGTTTGCAAACCTTTGGCATTCTTGTTAAAAAGAGACATTCCTGGCGTGTGAGAGATTTATGGGTGTGGTCAGGATTTTCATTGGTCGGAGCGCGGCAAAGCGCGTCTGTATAAAACGTGCAGTGGACGACGTAGGCCGACTGCAGAGGTACGCATTATACAGCCACAGACTGGTAGAAGAAGGAGCTTAATTGAGACGTGTGTCTGGAGGAACTCAATTCTACAGACATTGGACTGTGAATTGTACAGACGAAAACATGGTTGAGTTACGGAGAATTTCCCGTGCCAGAGTCTTCCTTCTAGTGCTGAGCGCCAGCGTTGGAATTACTCTTTTGTGGCCGTACGTCCTGGAAAGATGGATCACCGATAAATTCGGGTCAACCGACAAATTAGCAACCTGCGAAAGAACACAGCCTGCTATTCGCAACATAGCACGCGATAGAAAGCACTGGTGGTGCTCTGGTCGCTTTGACCCAACCAATGGAATGAACAGCCACTTTAAACCACACAGCACATCCAAGCTGACAGAGAAGTACTTTCTAACTGCTGTGCTTGTAGTTCGCATCTTCGCCTCCGATACTAACCATCTCACAACCAGAGAGTTAGTCCAGTGGCTGCAGTATCTCAGCTACGCGGGTGTTGAACATGTTTATATTTACGACTCTTTCCTCTACAAGAACGAATCTCAGAAAGAAAACTTGCGATGTTTCATCGAAAATGGCTACGTGACTTATGTTGACTGGAGCTACAAAGCTGTACCAAACCCCATGAGTCGAGATGGCGCCACGCAGGTACCTGCCTATAATGATTGCTGGCAACAGTTTGGACAAGATTATGTCTGGCAGCTGGTCATGGATATCGACGAGTACCCTTACAGTTCCAAAGATCATCAGCAGGGATTTCTCAGCCGTGTCATCCAAAAACTTCTCCAAAATAATACTGGAGGTAAACCTATCGTTCAGATTACATTGCAGAATTACTTGTTTTTGGGTAAACCTATAAATGGCACGCAATACCCACTCCTGATTGAACGGTTTGGGCGGCGAAGCAGAAAACCCCTTCTAGGTCACAGTCATAGAACCAAGCATATCTATCTCTCCAAGGCTGTAGCTGGTGTGCAGGCTCACAACGCTTATCCTCGAAAAGGATTTATCAAGGTCGACCCAGATGCAGCATTACTGCGTATGAACCATTATCACGGGGACAGGCATAAGGAGCTGAATGGACCAAAACTTATGAATATGACACAAGTGGATTTGGGAATGAAGACGGCCGCCTCCGCCCTCCAAAAGTGCCAAGAACAGTGTTCGTTGGGATGTTGCTAATCGACCAGCTTGTCACGCTATTCCCAATTACCCGGACCAATCACGCATGATTAACATCGGTCTCCAGCGAAAGTTCAACCAAAAGCGCAGGAGGCCTACAAAATGGAACATAAAGTCTAGGAAAGGCTGACATTGTTAAAATGCTAAAATGTTAAAGCTTTCCTTTAGTAAAATTATTTCTCTAATTTAAATTTATTTCAAGAACGTATAGATTCTATAGAAGGAACATTTCACCGTGAATCGAAAAAAAATGATTCAAATAAAAGAAAACATTCTTTTCCTTTTTCTTGTTCTGCTCTTTTTCACTTCAAGTCGCAGGGCCTTGATCTTCGATGAGAGAATTAAACGTACGTCACGCAGCATTAGGTCTTAGTTTTTAAGCACTGAGGAAAGACAGCCTTGAAAAAAGACCCAACTTCACTCCAGCGTCTATCGACGATGATTAATTGATGTGATAGCTAGTATACAGAGTTGCTTAATTCGTGCACAAGGCATAATTAATATGACATCAATCGCTGCTCAAAAGGCATCAATTGAGACCAATCAATAACATGTATATGTACACTGGCGATTTATTATTGAACTTTGTTTCTATAAATTCCCTCTGACAACCAAATTGCCAATGTTACAAGCAATTTTGCGATAGGAGTTACATTAACTGTAAGTTCGATTTATATAGAGTCAAATATATAATTGTGATGACATCTTTATACATTCGTAAAACTATTTGATTTCATTTCCATTTGTATAGAGAACTACAATTGCGGAAACCGCTGAAAACTGACAAATCATGTCAAACTATTATAAAACAAGTAAGTTCTATTTTTTTTTATCTTGCTTAACTAACTCAACTTTATTTTAATAAATATGTATAAATATATAGAAGTGAAAAAGAGACACTGTTTGTATGTTGGAAGTAATTAAAGCTATCGAGTTATTTGGTGTTACGACATTAAAGCGAAAAGTACACTTTTAAGTTTAACATCCCCTTGCTTTGGAAAGATCATATTAGTTCTCCGAGGTCAGGAGTAAAATGGATTTTTGGAATGCGTAAACATATCAGCCTTGTTGCCAGTCCCAAATGCTCCTATGGGGTTAGGGATTAGTGGGCTCACAGACAGAATGGATCCTTAACGCATTGCTTGCGTCTCATCAGAGAAATTTAATTATTTTAATTCAATTAGAAAATAGTATGATCGCGCAAACGATTTTACTCGAGCCTGCCCTGCATATACAGAGCCCTTGGCCCCTTACTCTCCAATTTCATCTTGATGGATAAGATCTATTTCACAGGAGGCTAGATTTCTTTTCAGTGAGAAAACAATTTTCAATTCTGAATGCATTTCCAAAGAATAAAACATTCGACTAATGCGGGATTTCGTGATTGTGGATTGCTGATGTATTGCTGCTTTAGTTTATGGGTACTTTTAATCATTTTGATTTTTGTAAATTCCTCACGACCTGTCCCCCACATAGTGAGGTGTAAATGAGTACTGTCATGCCGTGCTTCTGTTCATGCGTCTCCACTTGCAGGAATAGGAACTGTCACATGACTCCAGCTATCTTGCAACATCCCAAAAAGCTCTTGATTAAGCGATCACCAGTAGATTTGGGGTCTATTGTACGATGTCTTATTCAGTACTGTGGAATCTTTGGGTCTTTTCATTATGTAGGGTAGTACATTACTTTGTTTGTGCTGCTTGAATATACCACAGCAATCCCAGCTCTTCAGCGCAAGCTTAAGTGTGACGTAATCTGTTGCATATTTATAAACCCTTCTTGTGAGCTCTTTGCGAGCGCATGAAGTGACATACATGCAGTTGTAAGACACCTCTTGAAATCACCCCTCGCTGTCTTTTACCTTCATTATTCTAGGGAAGTCTGATTTCTTCTTTGTGTTCACCTGGGTAAGGTCCAGACTGAAAGATGCCTCGAGATGTTACACCCTTGGTGGCGTTTGTATTGGTACGGTACTCGGCATGGCTCTCTTGGCAGGCAAGTAAGGTTGGTATACATGTATAAACACAATGTATGTATAGACAAGACCCGTGTGGCAACCCAGCTAGCTATTCTAAGCGCCACCCCTGGGTGCATTGCGAAGTGGCTGCTGTTAATTTTTAGATTTTCTCGTCATGAGATTGTTAGATTGATTAGTGATAGACGCTACTGCCGTCATTGTTTTGAAGTAGAAGTTGGTAGCAGCTTTTCCTCTTTTACTTCGTTATAATTAGCTGCTCCTGAAGTGCATTTCCAGCACTGCAAAAACCTGTGGTTCAAAGAAGACAGGAGGGTTTTGTTGAATTTGTATTGAGGTACGAAAGCCTGCGGGTCAATTGTTAAAATTCATTTCAACCAAGTGTCATTCTCCCTACATAATACTCACCCCGTGTTGCAATCATCACAAGACGTACGGTATAATTATATAACGGGTTTTTAATATACGTTGCAATGGGCAAGGGCAAAACCCGTTATATAAATTAACATCTTCCCAACGCAAAAATACATCTTGAAAATAGTTCGTGGTCCCCGCTGCTTCACATTACTCGGACCAGCCAGCCAACCCGGGCAAGCTCGGTGGTCGAGTGGTTAAGATATCTGTATTAGTATTAAAGCAGGAGGAGGTCGTGGGTTCGAGTCCCACTCGAGTGAACTTGTGAGTTTTTTCGCAGGCTCTCGGACAAGCACTGAGCATGCAGAGCTTATTAAAATACGTTGGGTAAGGGCAAAACCCGTTATATAAATTAACATCTCCCCAACGCAAAAATACATCTTGAAAACACGACGTACGGTGTCTATGTGATATTTTCATACATCTTGGGCTTCAACTGAAGAAATAATTTTTTTATTAAGTCAAAATCATTATAGGTTTTCCGTTACGCCCTACTAAGAAATGACTAACCAGGAGCAAAATAAAACTTAATTGTAAACATAATTTTGATGTTAGAGTATTTTAAAAGGGTCTCAACTATTTAGACCATTTACCAAGTTTAAGTCGACAAACTGAATTCAGAAGTTTGGACAGCCAGTCTTCTAGGTATTTCACATTTTTTGTTAAGATCTTCAACTCAGTTTCAGTGGATCAGTTATCCTAAACTTACAGTACTAGAGCTGATGGGATCGCAGTAAGGCCGGCCATAAGCTTGAACACGAACATGGGGTCATCTTCTACGGTAGCTTGGTAGATCGTACCGTAAATTGTAGGAGCTAAAAAAGCACCTAAACATTCTACGGCACTTGTTAATCCGAACACACTTCCTAAATTATCAGAAATGAATAACAAAAGAAACATGAAGAGACAAGTCATCTATGGTTTGACCATGTCAACTCTTGCGTATACATATTGGCATTGTGGGTATGTATATAATGTGCATAAAGTTACCTTTTTCAACACTCATGTGGTCCAGTCGTCATTTCTGGTTTCGGTATTCTGATCGAGAAATGGATGTAAGCCTACTCACCCATGCTGCTTTTCTTGACTAATTTGGACAAGCTGGAAGTTAGGATTGGGCCTGGTACCAGACGGAATGCACCGAAAACCGCCACTGAAATGAGCAGGACAGATCGTCAGACATGGATAAGATATCTCATTAATGTGTGGCATAATGAACGTGAAGGTTTAGACTGTGGCCACTCCTCCTAAAAAGCGGAGATAACTAACTGGACAAAAACGCGTGGTCTCCTCACGAACTTTTTGTAAAATGTGTGCGCCTTTGCACAGATTTGTGTGCATATAGAGAAAACTTTTGCATTCGATTTATGCGTGATCGCCTGTCGGCAATAAAGCCTCATTTATTTTCTCAGATGAACTTGTTTCCGACACTCAAGACCCTGTTTTTGTTCCGCATTTTGTGAATACTTTTCATTTTTATTTTTTTAGAGTTTCCCCCGTGAATTTCATAACGGCGAAATTACCAAGAAAGAGTCCAGCATCGGTCCTTGCATACACAGGAATGAGGGCGCTGGTAAACATGGACAGCAATCCAATTTGTATCAAACCATAATCATCGAACCATGTTTGCAAAATCTTTGCAACTACCGTCATGCCTAGCGGGAGGGAAGAAAAAGAAAAAAAAAACAGAAACGGAAACGAATGGCAGAAGTGTACCAACATATGTATTCTTTTGTAGTAGATACACAGAGTCTAATTCTAAGGCAAGGATTCGGTAAGTCTTTACTATTGATACATGTTTATATATTTTTGGAACTTGTTACTTTCTTGCATGTGGTTTAAAAGGCAATTAACACAGATCTGCAGATTTTTCTGCGAGGTGAGTGGGTGATTCAGACAATAATTTGTTACTACACAGTAAATTTTTGTCAGAATTAAAAAGCCCTGATAAATTCTTGCTAATTGTCTGAGATTATGAAATAAAACCTATTATTATTATTATGAAACCTATGTTTTTTCGTCAGGGCGTGCAACCATTCAGAAATATTCCCATACCTACCAATTATTATACCAGTTAGTTTTGCTGCAGAAAAGTAACCAATTAAAATAGGTGACCAGCAGAAGGGCTCCCCCAACATTACAATCTGCAACATGGCTAAGAAGAAAACGCCAAGATGGGTGTAGGCGAAAAAGGTGATGGCCTCAACGATGAGGACGCCATTCCATTCGCCCGTAGAGGGATTCCGGAATATAGCTAGTGTGTGCATGCATAGTGCGAGTAGGTGTGATGCCATTCCGCCGTCAGTGTCGATCTCGTCCGTTGATGTATTCTCCTGCACAGAACAGAATTCATGAAGTCGAAAAGTAAAAGAATTGGTTTAGATCTATACGCCTCGAGCAAAAGCACCCCCTCATGAGTTAAAGAGAGTCGTATTGGTTGGGAGTATTGGTTTTGTTGGAAGCGATGCGACTACAAAGCTTTCTTTTCCTAGTCGTTTGTGGATCAGCGATGCGCAGTTAGCCGGTGTGGACGGTAAATCTGTCCCCCGGTAAAACTATCCCGGGGGACAGAATTACCTCGGTAAAAGTGTCCCTGGCCTGGTAAATTGGTCCCCCTCCAGGTAACTCTGTCCCTTCTAGGTACTTTTGCCCCCCCCCGTTTTGCCAGACGTTTTGGCGTCAAAGTTGTAGTTTTCGTGTTGGGTTGATGAATTTTG